CGTCATTTGCTTGATTTTGGAAATGTAGTTGATAAGGACTGCCTTCAGAATTATTTACCACACTGAACTGACATTTGCTAAAACTGGCAGAAACCATATCAATTAAAATGAACTATCTTGTTTCATGCAAACAAAACAATCAAGTTATAAATTAAAAGTTACCATGATAATCACATCGCTGATCTTAAATTTCCAGCGCTGAGAGTTGCAGCCCAACTTGGCAATGGTACTTATGTTTTTCAGTGAGAAGGATAACGCTTTTTTTTTTTGGTTGCTTCATTTTATGTGATTTTTTTCTCTTCTTCTTTGCGATCGTTTCGTATGCTCAGGTCAGACCAATCGGTGGGCATCTTCTATGAACTCGCATGTCAGCTGCAGGTCCTGCGTGGTTACCCCATAGCTTGCTCTGCAAAACTTTGCTCTGTCTGAGAGACACACTGCGGTTATTTCACTCTGTGGTAATGCCCCTGATGAGATTCAGCAAAATATGCCAGGCAATTCTACACACTACACTGCGCAATGTATTGTTTGTTTCTACCTTATTTAAATTTACAGCGGGGAAACCTGCATGATGTTGACCAGATCACCCACAGAGTGCTGAATGGTCTATAAAATAAATGCCAAATATGCCTGAAGGCGTAAATGAGGGTCCTTTACTGGTTTTTTTTTTTTCAATTTACAACAGGGAAATGATGTTTTCAATTAATAATTTATTATTTGAAATTACCATTTTGTTAATATGCCAAATATACTCACCAAACACCAGTTTTAGTGGGATATATTTGTGGCGGTCTCCTGGAGTTACGACAGGTGGTATACAGTGATAGTGCTGTCCCACTAGTTTACAACTAGGTGGTATACAGTGATAGTGCTGTCCCACTACCACTAATTTACAACTAGGTGGTATACAGTGATAGTGCTGTCCCACTAGTTTACAACTAGGTGGTATACAGTGATAGTGCTGTCCCACTAGTTTACAACTAGGTGGTATACAGTGATAGTGCTGTCCCACTAGTTTACAACTAGGTGGTATACAGTGATAGTGCTGTCCCACTAGTTTACAACTAGGTGGTATACAGTGATAGTGTTGTCCCACTAGTTTACAACTAGGTGGTATACAGTGATAGTGCTGTCCCACTAGTTTACAACTAGGTGGTATACAGTGATAGTGCTGTCCCACTAGTTTACAACTAGGTGGTAAATGTTTACATTTTATACCCACCATATAAATTGACTCTTTGGTTTGGAAATAATTTTTAGGTTTCAAAACTCGACATATACGCCACAATTTGTGGAAAAAATAAACTAAAAACATTGCCTGCATAGAACTAAAGGTCTAAAATGACATTTATTTAAAATTACATATCCAGAGAGAGCTAAACAAATTCCAGGGAATCAAAAGATGATAAAAAGATATTGCCGGCAGAAAGTTCACACAATTAAAAATTAATCTGTATAATCAGAGCGTTTCTACCTGGAACCCACAGGAAAAAAGAAATAGAGGTAGGCCTAAAAATAAATGGAAAAAACTAAAGGAATCTGTAGAAAATGACAAAAGATAGGTCTCGGTGTGAGTTGGTTAAGGCCTATGCTCTATTATGGTTAAAGGCGTAAACAGAAGAAAAGAAACAAATGCTTAAAAACATTCATTAAAAAATTCCAGAGCTTTGACTTATCAGTTACCAGACCCTGTCACAAACAATTTGGTTGAGTGAAAACTATGCTACTCAGATTATAAAATTTTATTTTATATATTTCACACCACAGCCATAATTACAACAAACGTTTACTGTTAACAAATATTAATATAAATTTTAAAAAGTGGCTGAAAAACCACAGTTATTGCACAAAACTAAAACTGTATGTATCACATTCAGATATCATGTTTACTACAGTTTCATGATATTCGTAAAGTTAAAATAAATCTCAGAATGTAATCACAACAAAACAAAAAATACGAAAGGAGTATATCATCACCAAAATATACTTAAACAACAACATACAAAAAACCTAGTTATCCAAGGGCGTTTTTTAAAATTACTGACAGGAAAGCCAATACGGGTAGAAAATTCTAATGGCACAGATGCAAAAGAACTGAGTGGCTGAAATTAAGGTATTCTTATGTACAATTTGAACAATTTTACTCATTAAATGACAAAGATTTTGAATGCTGAAATTACGAAAGAATTATGTTAATTTTAGTAGCTATGTATTTCAATTTTTTTTTTTAGCAGTAAAGAGCTATCAAATAATTATGCATTTTTTTAAACAGTGTACATCCTAAATCCAGCGTAAAGAAATATTGGCAAGTATAGACAATTAACTTGTCCTTGCTTCAGTGACACAATTATTTTACTGTGCTAAAACATTCATAACACACAGAATGATACACAGTATACCTGAAGACAGGATCAGGAAAATTCAGGATCACACAAGATAATTCATACCTGCCACTATCACATAAGGGAGACAAATTGGAAACATGGAAAAATATAAGTGGGGCAATTAATACATACAATGTAAAAAGTATATTTTAAAAAAACGTATGAAACGGAAAATTTTTTTTTTACTTATCAAACAACACACATGTAAAGAAAAACTGATATCAAAAGAAATACACACAAAAAAGTGTTGAAAATGTGTATATAATAAATTTATGACTGAAATAAGGTTCTTCTTCATATTAATGCTCGGGACAGGAGGGGGGGGGGGGGGGGGGGTGGTGGGGGGTGTATAAACTCCAGTGGAAAGTTCTGGTTGTTTGCCTACTTCTGGACTTTGGTCTTGTTCCGGAACTTTAGTTTCGCATGCATATATGTTTGACAGATTTAGCTTATTTATATGCAGACTACTGGTTTTCCTGCCATTTAGACATGCATTCTAACTATAAAAGATACACCCCTAGTTAGCCACCCTTTATGAGGCACTGGGAGAACAAATTATCAAATAAATATGTGTTCCACACTTTACATTCAAGCTTTATATGTTTGCAGTATTCACAGTGTTAAAATAAAAAACATGTAAACACGTGTGGAAGCAGCTTTTATTTACTGGATCAGTCTTAATCAAATATTAAACAGCACCTGTCATGTGTATTTGTTTTAAATTCTCAAACAAACAATGCAGAACAAAGTTTGCTATACCATCTCTCCAAACTGGCAACTATATAATTCTCTTCTAACCATTTCAACCCATAAAAACTTAAAAAGGACCCTTTTACATGCCTTTCATGCATATTGGGAATATAGGGCTAGACCAATATTTTATAAACAAAACAGAACTTGATGGGTGATATGGTCAGCATCATACAGCCTTTATTTCCTAGGACTGAACCTGGTCGGCTCACTCGAGGCTGGGTTAACCTGGGAGCCGAGTCGTTTTTGAAAAAAAGTCCAGTCCCTGTCAGGAACTGAACCCATGACCTTCCGATCTGCAAGCAAACGTCTAGCCCCCAAACCATGGCGGCTCCAATAAAAACTTAAAACATTACATTTTTTTTTAAAATAAAAAGAAACAAAAAAATGCATCAAATAATTCTGTAAAACCCAAACCTTAAGAAACTAGGGGAAGAAGAAAAGAAATTCAGAGCCTTGGTTAGGTTTTAAAAAAGTCCAGAGGGTTGAACAGCCAGATCACTTAGCAGATAGTTAAACATGAAGGTCAGACCACCTAGCAGATAGTAAAACATGATAGCCACAGCTTCTTTGCGGATGTGAATATCGCTTAAAATAATAATATTTTTTTTTTTTCAATCATAATTCACAAATACCATATATTTTTCCCCCTTTGATTGTGAAGGAAAAAAATAAATACAGAACAAAGAGTTAACTGCATTTTTTTTCCTCTGACCATTACAAATGTGGTTTTATAGACTTGTAATAGAGTTTATTATGACTCCATGAATGACGTCACAGTTTTCAGAAATGCTATTTTTTTTAAACCAAAATATTTCGGTTGTTTTGGGCACGTAAAGACATACCCACTATGTCTACTCAGTATGCATTTGTTGCCAGTAACAAAGCTATTATTTAGGCATAGTGGCCATTGTCCAAAGACCTCATGTCAGTGAAAACCCATAAATTCAGGAAAAATGGTTTTCTCTGGGCAGCAGGGTTAACAACAGTAAAAGGATGAAAGTATTCAATGGTACGGACATGCAACAAGATCTATCAAACTCTCCCAAATACTACTGTAGAGGGGAAGAGGCTGACAAAGAAAGACCTGGATGCAGAATCTGCTGAAAGGACAGGCCTCTAACATAACATCAATACCATTACATCTGACTTGACAGAAGTGAAAGAAAGTAATGACAGTTAACAGTAACTGGTCACCCAATGACATGTGGTGTCATGGGACTATGATGATGATGATATTTAAAAACTAAACAAGTAAATGAGCTACAATCTTTGGAATATCTACACAAAATGAAACTATGATTAGGGTAGCAGGACATGGATTCAGCTGGCTGAACGCCTACACTCTTAAGAGAGCTGACAAATAAAACATAAAACAAGGCGCGTACAAAACATGATGTACATTCATGTCATGGGATGCAAATAAACAGCTTAACTTCAAACTCCAAGCATATATATTTTCATTTTCACCTTACTGTTGAAAAAAAACGTACAAGTAAACAACAAGTTTCCTCAACTAGTACAGTCAACAGAAAACTATTTTCAAAGTAATCTTACAAGTTAGCTCAAACATACTGTTAAAGATACAAACACATCAACAGCTCCAGTTTACATAAATACAGTGTTTCATTCTAGACAGGCAGTGTTCACACAAAACCAAGCTCCATGTGATACCCTGTTTTCACTTGAAAGCCTAGTAGTTCCCCATGAATCAGCTGCCAGAGTGAATTCAGAGATGTGTACGTCCACTTGCAGACGTGAAAGCTGTTTAATACGTTTTAACCTGTACTTTAATACTCAGCTGGTAGCAGAATATGCTTTTTTCAAAGGCAGTTTCTGTGAGCGTCATAAGATCTCTTGTTACTGTCAAGAATCTTCATCGCCGCAGGTTGGCAAGGATAGATGTTGCTAAAGAAATTTGAATATATAATTATTAATGAACTCACATAAAAACAGCAAATACCATATTTTTCTGTAAATAAGATGTATAATATAATGTTTCTTTTTTAAAAAAATCCAAAATTAACTTTTTGAGTCCCAGGGAACGCATCACCCGCTAATTTATTCAACCTAGGGGCCCAATCAATGTGTGACAAGTGAAGGTTTTTAATCTACCACTGACTTGTTGTAAAACGCAGAACGCTCAATTTCAACTTCCTTCCGAGTTCTTTGCGTCTGATATAAAGCATGCTCATTTAGAAACGTGAGTTGAAAGCCGAAAATATAGTATATCTGCGAGATTCCGGAGTTACTAAGTGTTTGTTTAAAAAGAATATGGCCACCAAGCACTATTCTATGTGCATGCCAACATGATTAATGGCCTTAGAAACCTAAAATTTAAATAAAGTGCGTGTTTTTTTTAGATTTATCTGAAGTTAGATAAATGAAATTTCCAATTAGGCGTGTTTCAAAAATGTATAGTCAAACTTTGATGAGGGATATATCTAATGTATACCTCATGCAAAGGGTATACAACAATAGCAAAGTCAGCTGGCACAAACAGAATAAACATTAGTGAAAAGACGATTTTTTTCAGTGTCAGTTAGTTCTAGTGCTATTCCCCTTTTTATTTAGAAACATAGCTACACAATTACAGGCAAATTGAGTGTTAGATAAACTTCATTTTGCGTGAAGATACTTATTGTTTTGGGAGTAAGTTTTCTTTACCAAATAATAGTGCTCTGTTATGATGTTTCAAAATATTCTCTGGAACAAAATTTAATGTATTGATTGAGTTTATGTTTTACTTATACATTACTAAATGGTTCATTTTCATTTGTGATTCATTCTGGATACATTTTTTGTGCAATGTTTTGTTTTGTGCCAGTTTGTGCCATGATGATTAGTGGAAATTTTTTTATTTGATTTTACTCATTTTTGTAAACAGACTGTTTATTTACTAATTTTTTATTACTAACGCAATTATCAATTGTAGCTCTATGCTAAAATTATTCCTCAACAATCCCTGGTCACTTTGATGTATAATATGTGTATGGTGCGTGGCAACTGAAACAGTATGGTCTGTTTTAATGTCTTACACTTGTGAAATTACAAAATTCCACTACCACCCCCTGGGCCTCTGTTGCTAAACCCCCTGGGACTCAAAGTATTGACAAATAAATTTTTTAAACACATATATGTAAACATATATAAGACAGCCTCAATTTTAAACATAATAAATTTGGAGAAAAAAATTAATAAATTGTACAGACAAAATGTGGGAAATAGCAATGTTTTATGAAGTTTCTTCATTCATCTTCAGGTTGACATATATATTGGAATTGGTACCTAAACTCTGAGTTATGAACCAAAAAAAAATCATTCTTGGAAGGATTAAATTAGTAAGAGGTTTGAAATAGTGGAGATGCTAAGACTTCTTCTTCTTCGCATTCATCTGCTGTAAACCGCGGTGAAAGGCTCTGGTTGTTCATCCACTTCTGCAATTTGGTCTTGTTCCAGGACATGAGTTTTACAAGTATATCTGTTTTACAGAATAAGCTTGTCCTTATGCAGACTATTGGTTCCTGGACTCACTAAAACTCTGAAGGAAAACCCCCTCATTAGTGGGTATATTCTCCCCCAACACTCCAAAATGAAGCTTCAGAAGCCACACAGAAAGTTTTCTAAAACAAACACTGCAAATACTTTGGATGGCAAGAGTACCTAAGAATTGCCAGGAACAAGTTAATTAATGTCGAACATCATATCTCCTTTTTTTCCCTCTTTACCTCACTGAAGTGTGGGGAGGGAAGATCTACTAAATGCTTCTTTTATTTAAAATAAACGGTACCATCTCTCTAAAGGAGGTCACTGACTATATAGGTGGTTAGATGCTGATCTCTACCATAGTGTGAATCCTGTATCTCTGTCTGAAAACCAAGAGAACATAGCCCCCGCCCGCCTTCCCAAATCACCCACGGCAGTAATTAAACCCATGTAAACAGTGAGGATTGCAGTGTGAAACCATTTCACTAATTTCTAAGCAAAAGAGCTGCACATGCTCTTTCTAATGTGCTAAGTTAATGTTCATTTCTTTAAAGCTAACTTGATGCTGTCATTCCATATTTTGTGTGGTCTTCCTGTTTCTATGTGTTCTCATATTTCCTCAGTGTCTCTCCATACTAGCTAGCACCAGGGCATTTTTTATCAGATGGTAAAGCATCTCATCTATTGCTCTTTACTTTAGTTAGCTGATCATTTTCTACCTTGGGGTGTAGAGGTTTGCTAGAGAGATTGCCAGACTTCTCTATCTACAGTTTTCTTTTTGGCTTTGTTCCATTCCAGTCCTCTGTCAGTCAGGGACTGTCGGATGTTGTCTTCTCAGTGAACCCTGGGTTGCCCTGGTGGTCTGATTCTTGGGTTCCCATGCCTGCCATGGTGGCCGATTTTCTTCCATTATGCATACATGTCCAAACCATCTCAACTGGACTGATTCACAACAGTTTCTAAGGTCTGGGTTTCAAAATCGTGACGGATTGTCTGTTGCTCTGTAATGAATTGTATTACTGGTTTATGTCCTGGTCTTCTTCAAATTTCTTCATTTTAATCCTTTTCCTGTTACTCTAGCAGCTCTTCTAAAACATCTCATCCCTGCTGTTATGATTTTGACCAAACTGGTTGCAGTAAGGGTCCACGTTTGACCTTGCTAGCAAAGAGTTGGCCCAAAAAATCATTCTCATCAGATTTTTCTCAGCAGAGTAAAATATCCTGAACATCATAGAATACTAGAGATAAAAGCTCCAGAACGTCAACTCGCTTATTATGAACACTAGGTTAACATGAAAACAAAATGTCTGGTCCCAGCAGGGATGTTTGATTATTGTTAATCCCCGGTTCCCCCATGTGGATTCCGGGACCTCACTGTGGAAAAAACAAGAATAGACCCACCGCCTCCCCAAAAAAGCATGTCGTAGGAGTCGACTAATTTGGGACTTTCTTCGAAGTTGCAGTGCATCTGCCTGAGCGGCAAGGAACAATGAATGCATAAAAATAAGCCAGTAAAACGTATGTACACGCAAAACTTAAGTCCTGGCACAAAGCCAAAGTCCAAAAGAACGAACAACCAGGACTTTCTATCGGAGCTTACAGCCAGTTAACAAAGAAGTCCCTGGTTAGCACCAATTTTCATTTAACACAAACTCTTGCTTTTTCTGACTCTTGGAATTTGTGTAGGTCCTGTTCACGTTTCCAGGCCCAGGATTAGAGTAACTTCCCTTGCCATTCATGCCCACTCAAATAGCTGGACTCTCCTATGTTGCTGGGGTGTTATGATATGGCTAGATTGTGAGTCTATTTCAGGCATGGCAGGCGCCTGTGAACAAGTAAGAAGTACTGCAGGGGGAAGCGCCGCAGACACGATGATTCTTAAATATCAAAACTGGGATGTTTTTATATTTCCACGTTCAGTGGTGGTGGAAATGAGATGTCTGAGAAGGGCTGTAGGAGTGACCATAAGAGATAAGATCAGGAATGAGATCATAAGAGAACAAGTCGGCACAGAACCAATTCTGGATTACATACAAAGACAGCAAGTGAAATGGTTTGCCCACTTAGAGAAGACGGACGTAGAGCAGGGGGTAGACCAAGAACTACATGGAAGGATAACATCAGAGAAACTCTACAACAGCACGATGTGCCTATGGTCGAGGCAGCCAGAAGAGCTAGAAACAGAACCTTATATCTCCCTCGACACCCACAGCCGTAAAAGAGGAAGTGAAGAAGAAGAAGAAGAAGAAGTGGTGATTCTGGATGGTCAAAGATGATGGCATGGAGAAATATCATCAACAGAAATGATCCAGAATACCAAGTCTGTCAGTCGTACTGAGGCCCTCACATCCAAGACCAAACATCACCACAAGAGACCTATCCTCTTACTAATGTATTATCTTCACAACATCTATGCCAAAAACATTTCCCTTTGGCACCTCTACATCCTACGGGCTGAGCTCCTTGTTGGCACCTCTCCATCCTACGGGCTGACCTCCTTGCCACTAACAAGATTTTCTTTGAACATCCCTTAGTGGTCAAGGACATTCTAGTCAAGAGTCTGTTACGTCCCACTTCTAAGTCCTACTTAGGCACGGTCTTTTGTCATAAACTTATATGCAGGATTTGTCTATATATATTTCAGGCAGACCGTCTAGAATATTCCCTAATACCACTTTCCTCACATGTGAGGCATTCTACTGCACGAGTTTCAATGTTATTTATACCATCATCTGCAAAATATGTGGTATGAAATATATCGGTGAAATGGGGCTACAACTGGCTGACAGGCTCAGGTAAAATTTTTACCATGTACAAAATAGTGCCCTCAAACCTGTAATGTTGCACTTTTATTATCAAGATCACTAAAGTGTCCTCGAAGAGGTTTTGGCCATCAAATAAAAGAGTCCTACAGTCTCTACAGAACTGGATTAATCCAACTCAATGGCGCTAATTCACGTATGGGACTTAAACATCCAAAACAATTTTATCTAATATATTGGAATTATGGCCCCTATGACTCACGGTTTCTCTCTGCCCAGTATTTATTTTGAGTGGCTACACACATATCACACTACTGGGCAGACAGATCTATCAGAGATAGTTAAGTAATTCTGTGTATTCTTGCTCATGTATGCGATTTTTTAGATTTAAAAGTTAAAGGTTAAAGTCGAAAGGATCGACTTCATTGCAGCGGGTTTCAGCCCATTTTGTGGATTTATGTAGCTGATGAAGGCTCTCTAGCCTCAATGTTCACTTGTCGTTCAAGTTTGTGACATTGAGAAGCTGACTGGTTCTAGTTTGATCTGGTTTGATATCTTTTCAGAATACCAAGGACCTACATATTTATCATCATCGTGTGCCATTACACCTCACAGAGGACTTTATTCTTATATTCTACTCTAGCTTGTGGAATGTTTCAATGTTATGAATGGAATTTGGTCTTTGGCCTCTTTTACCCAGATCTGTCTTAGAGTTTCTTCCTGACATCTTTATTTCCCCAATCCATTTCTTCTTCGTGTTCACTGGCTGTAAAAATCCATTTGTTTTCCCTCTAAATGTCCGTTTGAAAATTCTCTGTCGACTTACAACATCTTAGGCAACAGAGAAATGCCTATGTCCTCTCGAAATGCTGCATCAGCACTGAGGCTAGACGCTTTCCTATCGGCACAAAGGTCTAGGCTCTGAGTGGGATTTTTAAACAACAGACCTTGGCTCCCAGACTGACCCAGCCTTAAATAGGTACCAGGAAAGGTTCTAGGGAAAAACGGTGGCCGGTATGATGCCGAGTGCCAACTGGTCTACAAAAATATAGGGCTGGCATGACATGCTCAATACCCCACTGGTGTGAAAAGAGTCCTTTACTTATTTCTGTATCATATAGCAGGGGTACAAGATGACGGTGTTGCTGCCATGTACTGGCATGCCAGCAGCAGGTCTCTGAAAATTCCTCAAAAGGTTTCAACCTCCCTGGATTTTAGTTTTTAATGTGACTGCATAGACCAGTACAGTCTTCACACATATAACCGTATGGTTGCAGAGTTTTCGTAAACTAGTAAGCTTGAATTACCTCATGGTATGCTGGAGGTGGCCTATAGTTGTAGACGTACCGATACATTGGAGTGTACGTCAGGTCTCCCATGTTTGACCCTGGTGGTTCATCGTCATCATCATCATCTATGTTTACTGCTCCTCCGATGCTCTCAGCATAAGCAGGTGGTTCTGATAACACCAAAAAAATCAAAAGTAAAAAGTAAATAAATGCAAATAATAACAGTTTTAGGGAATACTTCTTCTTTGCCTTCACCAGCTGTGAATTCTGGCAAAAATTCCTGGCTGTTCGTCCTTTTGAACGTTGGCTTTGTACCAGGACCTGAGTTATGCATGTACATCTGTTATACTGGCTTATTTGTGTGCAGCTCTTGCTCCCTGTCTCTCGGGCAGATGAACTCTTACTTTGAAGGAAGCTTTAGAGAATACAATTACTATCCTTATGGCCAATTTTTATCCTTAAAGCATTTCAAACTGGTCTTTTTTCTTCTTCTTCTTAAAAGGATGGTTGAAATGATATGTTGTGGTTTACAACTTAGCTGCAATATCTGCATCTTCCATCCCAGCACATCCAATTTCAGGAAACCTCTAATTACTTGCCTCTTTCAAGGATTTCCAGGAAAATGCAGTCATGAACGAAACGAAGAAAGGGAAATGAAGAAGTGCAACCTGGCATGGGATACCATGAACATAAAAGTAGCATACTGGCAGCAGTGGAGAAAAATTGTAATTAGTTCGTTTCAACAATTACTTGAAAAGGATATAGACAGAACCCATGTGATGCCAAGAACCACAGAATAAGACCTCCAGTAGGACCAAGGGTTTGCTATCTGACAGTCCCTGACTGATAGAGGACTACAATGGAACAAAGCCAAAGAGAAAACTGTTGACAGAGAAGTCTGGCGATCTCTCTGGCAAACCTCTACACCCAAGGTAAAAGCAGATCGATTAAGTAAAAAGGTAAACAGTTTTATACAGTTTATACCAAAACAAAATTCTAGTATGTTCTCCAATATCTCCCCCAAACAGACAGTCGAACATTTAAGGGGGTGGTTGATAGGCTGCATGCAGTCATGAGACCTAGGCTGACCTCTCTTGTGGGACGTAGGTGGGTTAAAGTTAGGCCCAGTTCTAGATGTTTTGGGGTAGCTAAAAGCATCAGAAAGCTGGGAAGCCCGCTCTTACCACCCTAACAAATATTGGACTGTTCCGTGACGTCATCCTGGGGAAGGATACTGGGAAAGCACACATTTTTCCTGTCTCAAATTAATGCTGTATACACAAACAATTTACCATCAAATGGAGGAGGTGGAGTGATTGTTTCTCGGTAAGGTGGCGGCACGGGCAGAAGATTAACAGAGGCAAACTGAGCTTGAGTCTCACGGTAGAAGCGGGAATCAGTGTACCGGTAGCTGGCAGCATGTCGGAAAGGCACAGTACCAATGACTACAGGCAAATGCATGGTCAAATTGTAGGCACCATTAATGTGAAGAGCAACCTGAAAACATATATACCTGTAGTTGTTTGTAAAAGTATTCATTTTGGTTTATTCCTCACATACACACACAAATTAGTAATACACATATTAACCCTTCTGCCCCGAGAGGCCACAAAACCAACACTTCTGGGTGGGCTCAATTAACTGTATGTGTCACTTTTCCAACTCACTATAGTGACGTGTTTTTTTTTCCATTCATTAATGTGAATTGATACATGACAGGGCAGATGTGGTCAAGGTTCTCTGGGAACAAGCAACAGAATCAGTAAAGATAGAAGATTTTTATGGAGTGGAGAGAATGAGGCATCTGGGTGTAACTAGAGGGTCTGGCCGGCTCACTACACTCAGAGGAAAGGCAAGATGGACATATGACCAGATTATGACCGGTACCATCAGTATTGGAACTCTGCGCTGGCTGCTGAAGATGAAGATGGAGCATGCATGGGAATGCTCCGAGTGTTGTTATGTCAATTCTTGACTCAACTCAACTTATTCATTCATTCATTATCCTGTTGTGCCATTATATGTCACATACTGATCAATGTCCATTCCTCCATTCCATTTTATCCTGCGCAATCAGTTGAATATCAAGAATGAATCCAGTGTGGCAGCTCTGGCCTCTCTCGGCAAGATTAGTCTTAGAGTTTCTGTTGGGCGTCCCCGCCTCCTTAATCCCTTTATTTCCCATTTAATGTCTGTTTTGTGATTATTTGCTGGTTTCTTATTAGGATGTCTAATTTAGTGCCATCTTTTCTGCTTTATAACTGTAACAACCTGTTTACAAGAAAATAAGTAAAAAATTAAAATAATTAGCTATGTATCATAGTTATTTCTATTTTTTTTTTTCTGCAAATAAAATTCCCATTCCAGGTGGGTTCGTTCCGCATTTGAAGAAAAGATAAGGATGATTCACTCTCCTTAACAATATGTATATAATTTTCTTTGAATAAATGTTAAACATAGCATTTTGTGAGTAATTTTTTCGACATGGAACGCATTATCGTATTTTACATTAGTTTATATGAGAAAAACTGTTTCGCATAACGAGTGTTTCGCATAACGAGTGTTTCGCTTAACGAGTATGATTCTAGAACGAATTATGCTCCTTGAGCGAGGTTCCACTGTATTTTATAGACCAATGGTACAAGATGTTGATGTCAGCATTATGCTGGCCACCTTTACTTCCCAGGACAGTCATCCAATGCATACGGTTATTTTAATGCTTGACTCTGTTCAGTTTATTGATTACTCCCTGCACATATCTTTATATTTTTTTAAATTAAAAAATGTAGACATAAATATTTCACAAATTTATTAGTAACCTGTGTGAAATTGTAGTTAGATTTTTTTTAAAAGATTTTTTTCTAGAAATCCATTAGGACATGACCCACCTGTTTAGTGTTTCCATGGCAAGAGATTGAAGGTGAGAAGTCAATAAGATGTATGTACAACAAGACTAGGAGAGTGCACACACAAATGAACACATAATTGATCTCAGAAAAAAACTGATGTGACGAAAAGATGCTGACACTGTGCAATGAAAGCAATCCTTTGCAAAACAAACCCAATCAATTCTTTAAACAAATGATGAAGTTGCTATCTTGATTGATTGACGTTTTACCCCACCAGGACATCACACACCGAGCGATAAGCACAGGGTGACACTAATTACCACCTTTTGGATGAGGATCAACTGGGGACAGGTCCCAGAAACTCTGTTCAACCAATAGGTTGGGTTATTTGCTATCTTGAATGAAATCATAAAGTTACACACCTTGACGTAATAATCGACTTTCATGACACAACAGTTGATTATAGATGGCGTGACAGCTGGAATCTTCAGCAGCTGAGAATCCCAGGATCCCCTTGTGCCAGGTGCAACAGGAAGGCCGGTGAGAACAGTAAACTTTGTGCGTCTGATGCGTGACTTTCCGCTGGCAAAAAATGCTTGTGACTGGTACAACGTTGCATAAGGAATTACGGTACGAGATGAGTGGTTGTCAAACTCAGCTGATATAGCAATGGATTCACCTGAATAGTTACAGAGACATGACAAGAAATCACTGTCCAATGGTCAAGTAGTTTTTTCACATATTCTAACTGCATTTTCAAACAGCTAAATAAAGAACCTAGGCTAGGTTCCATTAGGTTCCTACTATTAGGTATGTAACTGGGGCGTGTAAGCACATTAGAATGGAACCAACCCTACTTGCCAGCGTTTGTGGCTTGGCGTTGCGAACATGCTTTGTAATGCCAGGTTTGATCCCAGCTGCAGGCCTTGCATTGGTTTTGACAGTGGCATAGAGCAACTGACCGTCCAGAAAGAAATGGCAAACTACTGGATGTAAATTTGCTTAGAAAAACCAGAACAGCCTAAAAATGCTGGGGTTTGTTCTGCAACATCCTGTAAAGGATACACAACTAACTGTAAGCCTACTTATCCAAGAAAAAGTAAATGCAACTTGAAAAGAATGTTGTGGCAGGAAAAACCCAGTCGATAGCTTTGGCTGGTAGTTTGTTCCGGAGAGAAGCTCTGACAAGTGGACAATCAATTTTAATCTGTTACACTAAACTGAAACAGGTATAACGGTTAATTAAAGTGTTTTCTCCCTCTCTCTCATTTCCCCTTCCTTATTTTTATTAAAGGCCTACCTTCTGCTCCTGAAGCAACAGCCCCCATGGACAGTTCAAGCCCCCCCACCCCCCCCCCCCCTCTTCCCCAATTTACTCAGGTCATGCCCATGTGGGTACCAGGGCCCCAGTGTGGAGAAAAGAATAAACCCAATGCCTTCCCAACAAGCATTGTAGTAGGAGTTGACTAATTGGGGACTTCCTTCAAAGTTGGAGTGCATCTGCCTGAGCGACAAGGAACAACCAATTGCACATAAATAAGCCAGTTAAACGGATGTACACACAAAACTCAGGCCCTGGCACAAAGCCATAGTCCAAATGGATAAACAACTAGGACTTTCCGCCGAAGCTTACAGCCGGTTAACGAAGAAGAAGATCGAGTCAGCTACCGCCCTCTAGATCATCCCAGCACCCTTTGGGAAACATTTATACAGACTATGAAAACTGAAATGAATCCTAATGGTACAAAGCTGACCACTACAGTACCTGGGCAATAGCCTCTTCGGTCAGTTCTGGAAGTGATGGAGATGGGACCTGAAGTGCACAACCAGCAACATAAAGTCTTCTCAACACTGCTCTCAACTTGGACCTTGAGAAATGCATGTATATAAAAAAAACATTTGGTGAAAATGTAAAAACTAATCTTTTTTTTCTCCTATTCTGTTAGCACTTATTTCTTAACATAGCAAAAACAAAGATAATGCATACAAACAAAACTGCCATGGAGAAGGAAATTTATGTTAATGAGGAAAGATTGGAAGTGGTGGAAAATTTCGAATATCTTGGGTCACTGGTTACCAACAATGGTGACACAATGAAAGAAATTAAACGGCGACTATCAATTGCTCTTCAAAGACTAAAACAACTGAATAAATTATGGAATTGTACAGATAGAATTACAAAGGTCAGATTTTTAAGAGCATGCATCTTTCCCATTGCAACATACGCCTGTGAGACCTGGACACTTACTAAACAAGCAGAACAGCGCATAAATGCATTTGAATATAAATGTTACAGACAGGTTCTAAGAATATCTTGGGTAAAGAAAAGAACAAATGCATCCATACTTCAAGAGCTGAATATTGAAGAGGGTTGGCTAGTAAAGACAATAAAACAAAGAAAATTTAAATATTTTGGTCACTTGAAACGTCATAGAAGTCTAGAGAGAACAATAATGGAGGGGTATATGCCTGGGAAGAGAGGAAGAGGAAGGCCAAGGAGAAGATGGGTGCAGGATGTGGCAGATGATCTCCAGATGGGTGTATCAGACGCAGGACATCTTGATCAGGATAGGAAGGTTTTCCGGAAGGTTGTTATGGCAGCGAGGTTCCGCGAGGGACATGCTACTGAATGAATGAATGAATGAATTCTGTTAGCATATATCAGTAGTTCTTTTAATGTAGTACAATTACCTCTATGGCCCTGTGGTTTAGAGGCAAGTGAATGTGGTCAACAATTTTATAAAATGTGGGTGCTGGCATCTTTATCCCATATTCAGACAACAACAGCAGCAGCAAAAAATATACACCCACTGGTAAATTCTGTTCCAACTACACAGCAGAGACCCTTCCACCAGAGCAGACTGCCCAAATGTTACACAACACCAATTCAGACTGCAGCCAGGTGGTTATCTTCACAGTTGCACAATCCGTGCTACAAACCTTCAAGAGTGGTTAACTTCCTCACCTGAGATCCAAACTTAACAAAAAGGCTGCCCAAAAAGTGTACTGTACTCCAGTGGGTGCCGTCCCCTTGTGGTGTAACAGAAAATGTAACTGCTAAAACTCAGGTCAACTATTTCATTGATTGTAACTGAACTAGAAAGCATGTTAGGGAAGGGGACAGACGTACTTTGTGCAGAGTGGCATGCTTCGCTTCGGAGGTCATGGGTGAGGAGTATTGTCTGGATCTTTTCTCCGGGGTATGCAGATAGGTTAGGAAATGAACAGACAGACAGACTGGCTGTGCACAACTTGGTGGAATACTGGTGCATTGTAAAGCAGATGTGGTTAGGGCCTTGTTTAAGAATGTGTACAGTTTGGAGGAGCAAATGGATCACTAGTCTGGTGAGAGTGATGCAGCGGGGAGTAACAAGGGGATCTGGCCAATACTCTACGCTCAGAGGAAAAGCAAGACGGATGTATAATCAGAATGCTACTGGCACCATTTGTACTCTATGCCGAAGATAGGGATGGAGCACTTATGGGAATGCTCTCAGTGCTGTGATGTGGTTCGTAAATCAACTCAACTATATTAACAACAATAAGAACAGCAGCAAACAATGAAGAAGAGAAAGAATCTCACCTGATACTCTGGACGATTGATATCTATTGGGCTAATAACAGTGAAGGCTTTCTTAGTCTTGTGATTGAAAGACCACGGCTTGTCCATCTCTGCCTTCAACCAATACCGTATGCTTCCATGCTTCCCTTCAAAGCTTGTTGATATTCCACTAAAAAATATTGTTGTCTATTATTAGTTAATGTTATTATTTACTGTTAAACACTGCTAGTTATTAAATAACTATCTCTCCTATTTACTGTAATCTATTACTGGATTTAAACTCTTTCTACCTTTGAAAAAGTTGTTTCTGTATCTTTCTTTCTATTTAAAGGTATCATCATCATGTAGCAGGTCCTTTGCAGAACGTCACTCTCATCACGGTCTCCTTGAAAGAAACTGTTTCTCGCCAGCTTTCCCGCCTCATGTACTTTTTTTTAATACTCAAGAAGTCACTTATATCCTGTGCCCACGTTCGTGTTGGTTGGCCCCTGCCCCTCCTTCCTGGTACCAAGTCTTCTGCTATAATTCTTTCCAATACGTTGTGGCGTTTGATATGACACCAATATTTCAGCTTCCGAGACAGGATGCTGTTTATTAGCCAATCTTCCTTGATGTTCAAATCTTTCAAGATGTCAGCATTTCTCCTCTTCTTTGTCCAAGATATTATAAGAATCTTTCTATAGCATTTCAGCTCAAAAGACTTAAAGGTAGCAGACGTGATATACAGGGTATCTCTTTAAATTCAGTGAAATGCCTGGACTTTTCCTCACGCTTGTGGACTGTAATCATCATGCATCGTAAGCATGACCACAACAGCTCAACAGGGTTCAGAAATAATTAAAGTATTCACAAAATTAACCAACGCAACACTGTGACTCAAATGCTTATTTCCCGAGTGTGTTCTGTGGTTCCTCCATTTTGGACAAGAAAGAACAGACCCACGGCCTACCTAACAAGCATGTCGTGGGAGGCGACTAATTAAGGGTGTTTCCTTTAAAGCCAGAGTGCATATGTGTGAGTGACAAAGAACTAACAATCTGCAGATAAATAGGCCACATCTGTAAAACAGATGTGTATACAAAACCAAAGTTCTGAATCAAGATCAACAGTCCAGGAGTTTATAGTCACTGAATGCTAAGAAAAAGAAGAAGAAGAATGTTTTCCTTCCAGTCCTGTGGGCACATGTCTGAATCCACATCAAGGATGGGATTTTAAAATGTTGTCCTGGGCTTCCAAGCTGACTCTTTTTTTTTTAACGGATACCAGCAAATTTTATAGAAAGTATAATTGATCACATTTCTTTTCTTCTTCTTAGCGTTCACCGGCTGTAAACTCCTGCGAAAAGTTCTGGTTGTTTGTCCATTTATGGACTTTGGTCATGCTTGGTCACACCCACTTAAAACATGAAATGGAGGAGAAAACCCATTAATACTGTAATTTTAAAATAATACATTATTCTAGAATTCGATTTGATTCAAGAACCAACATCACAGACTTGGGGCATTCCCATTTGTGCTCCGTTCCCATCTTCAGCAGCTAGCGAAGAGTTCCGATACTAATGGTGCCATTAGCATTCTGATTAAACGTCGTCTTGCCTTTCCTCTCAGCCTCGAGCATCTGCCAGAACCTCTCATCACTCCCAACTGCATCAATCTCACAATACTGTGGTGATCAATCCACTCCTCCGAACTGTACAAGCTTTCCCGCAAGGCACTAACCACGTCTGCCTTATCATGCATCAGTATTCCACCAAGCTGTGCAGAGCCAACCAGTCTGTCCGCCTGTTCATTTCCCAACACACAGGCATACCCTGGTGAAAAAATCCAGGCAATACTCCTCACCCGTGTCTTCCGTAGCAAGGCATGCCACTCTGCACGAAGCATGCCTGTCTCGATCTTTTTTAGCATGCTTTTTGAGTCAGTTACAATCACAATGTGTGTGTGTGTGTGTCGTGTTCTCATGTTATTCTAGAAAAGTGGTCCCAACTGGTGGTACCAGGAATAAATTTAACAGGGCTGTGATACAATTTAGAAACAGGGAAAAACATCCCTCAAAATTGTTGTTTTTTCTGACTTAATTATAGTTTATTCCTTCTTTCAATATGATAATTAAAAAAGCTCCAGTCTGTATCAGACATTGAAAATAAGAGGGCGCCCCGGGTCCGGTCTTCTTCTTCATGTTCACCAGGTCTAAACTGGTTGAAAATTCTGGTCATTTGTCCACCTCTAAATCCCAGTCCTGTTCCAGAACCTGACTGCTGCATGCACATCACTTTTACAGACTTGGCTTATGTCTATGCAGACTGTTGGTTCCTTGCCTCTTGTACAGATGCACTCCGACTTTGAAGGAAGCCCCAACATGTTTTTATGGGAGACAGGGGGTCCATTCTTGTTTTCCTCACAAAGCTACTGTTACAGAACATGACATGAAACAAGCATTTAGTAAATTTCTTCTTAACAGTATTACCCCATAGGGAGATCAAATGAAAATGGCAATTCATGATGTCCATCTGACAAAGTGTCTCTTCCGTCAGCTACCTCTGTGAAACAGAAGTGAGAGTCAGTAAAGCCTGTCATATCAAGAATGCAGTTTTAAAAAACCTACTTGTTATTATTTATTTCTCAATAATGTAACATCATCTTACAACATGTTATGAATTATTCATCATCATCCTAATCTATATTAGCCTCATTATTCCCCGTGTGGGTCTCCGTGCACCCTGTTGGCAATAACACTGTAGGCTACAAAAGAACACACCCACTGCCTCCCTAACAAACATGTCATAAAAGTCTACTAATTAGGGGGGTTTCCTCTGGTCAGAAAGCATCTGCCTGACAGGCAAGGAGCCAACAGTTTGCATACAAATAAGCCAGATCTGTAAAATGGATGTGGATGCAAAACTCAAATTCTGGATTAAGATTCCAGTCCAGAAGCTGACAAACAACCAGCACTTTTCGCTGGAGTTTACAGCCGGTGACCGTGAAGAAGAAACCTCATTACATCACCTGTAGCACTGCTGAGAAGAAAAGTGAAACAAAAAAATTAAGAGGTAAGTGAAGGCTGACAATTTTAAAAAAACTTTCCCAAGTAGTTGCCATACTATGCAAACTATGAATGTGTATTTCACCTCAAGTAGATAAACAAAGGCAGAAACTCACCTGCAGTGGACACCATCTCACTGCAGCATCGACAGCAATGAAAGTGCTCACCCTTTAGCCAAGAAAGGCAGTGTCAAACAACAAACTTAGCAGTCACTCATTTCCAGAAGTTAAAACCCTCATTACGAGGGGGGAAAAAGATCATGAAAATAGTTCCTCAAAGATCTTAAAAGAACAGACAAGGTCACCATCTTTCACTTATGCACTGGCCACTGTAGAATCAACAAACTCTTACAAAATTAGATTTCAGCCACATAGTTCTCTGCCACTGTCTTTGTATTGAACAGACCCCAGAACATTTCTTGGAAGACTGTCCCCTGGAGGAGCTGCAAAACAACATGTGTGCACGCCCAGTAGATCTGACAACTAAGCTTGGGGAAAATCAAACAAACACACCTCGAGGTGACAGTTCATAGGGCCCATAGTGGATTCAGTCTATGGCCAGAGATCGCTGAAGAAAAAAAAGAGTAGATGGGGGAAACAAACTGGGGGGGGGGGGGGGGGGGCCATCAGTGAAGCTGTTGAGCCATCTGCCTCACACTATGAGGAATACTGGTTTGTTATCTGACCGTGTTGTTCAGTTCACAGATACCATTTTTTTCCCCCGACATCCCTGGGGATCACTAATTGAGCTATGGAGTTTGTGCACTGTGTGCTGCCTCTCTGGGCAGGCAGCCAGCAACTCAGTGGGGACAGACAATGAGCTAGATGGGATAAAACCTAATACAGCCAACCCTTTCACTCTAATCACCATCATTATCCTGTTGTCCTTATGTCATAAATGGCTCACAGTCTTTTCCCCATTCTGTTCTATCCTATGTAATCCCTTTGATAACTTAGATGGAATTCAGTTCAGAACCTTTGGCCTCTCTCACAAAGATTTATTCTTTCTTTTGTCAATTTTCTGCTCTGTCCTGTTGAGCGTCACAGGTTAACAGATGATCGGTTTTCGAGCCAGGGCACACTTGGTTGCTCGGTATGCTGCGATACTGTGGAGTCTGAAGATATCAAATACTTCTTCAATCAATCTTCTTCTTGGTCATCCCCTACCTCTTGGTGTTTCTACTTTCATGTTGTATGCTCTTGCTGCTGGCACCATTGGGTTCATTCTTGTTAGAGGGCTAAACCATTTCATTCTTTGTGAATTTTTTTACTTATAGTTGTTGTTCCAATAGTTTTTGTAATTTCTTTGTTTCTCACGTGATCTCTTCTAGTTTTGTTCAAAGCCCTTCTCAAACATCTCATTTCGCAGGCGGTTAGTTTTCTTTCGCATTCTTTAGTCAATGTTATAGTCTGACACTGACAGCACAAAGTTGGTATGAAGACGGCATTTATAATTTGTCTTTTTATATCTACTGGGATAGCCAGGTGTTACAAAATTGGAGTCAGCTGATAGGTGTCATTATTGGCTTGTTGGGTTCTTGTTTACATCTCTCTGTCTATTCTACAATAATGGGGGGGGGGGGGGGGGGAATTCCACTGCCACAGAATAAGCATGTCATAAGAGTTTACTAATTAGGCATTTGCTGAAATCGGAGTTATTGCAGATAATTGAGCAGATATGGCAGCCTTTGCAGTAGACCACAACACAATGTGCCAACTCCCACTTTAAGGGGGAAAGCAAACGAAAAAAATAAAGATTAAGCCTAGGCTGGTAATAATGTTTTCCCCACAAGTTTTATTACTTTTATATATAAATCAGTTACTTGCCTCCACCAAACAAAACCTGCCGCTTGAAAAAGTATTCAACCTCGGCATTATAATGTTCAGTATAAGAGCCCAATCTGCTGCCAGTGCTTCTGGACTCAGTCCAGTGAACCTTCGCCACACCTTTCATGAAAATTCTCAAAGATCGCATTTTCATGTCGCCCTTCAGTTCCACAACAACATTCCCCTGCACCCGTTCCCCGGGGTGATACACCGATTTATTTCCAGCCAGAACAATTTCAAAGCACTTCAGTTTGCCCATGTTATCCCGCTGTGCTTGGTTGCTGACTTATTTTGGGACTATATCGACCATAACACGTTCGAAATAAACGAAACGTCCCATAATAATAACATTGTTTAATGTTATGAATTTGTCTCCACCTTCCTGTTGCGCCATGACCTGGAAATGAACTTTGTTAAATAGCTGACTTGTGAAGTTGTTTGGAAGTGTTCAGTTTCTTTCTGACATTTCGCCTTTTTGTGTAGTTGATTTAGAACCTAGAGCCAGGACAAATCTATACGGTGATCTTGTTATATTGTGACTGATTAGTGGTTAAAACATTTTCCTGTCAAACAATATGGGTTGATTCCAATCCCGCAAAAGAAATGTTGACTATTTTGTGATCATTGAGACAGAAACCAAGACCTACTCTATTTTTCTTTCAGTAATATGGTAGGTCTCCAAACAAACCAGGGACACAATACTTGTAACAGCAGCAGGCGAAATGGTTTGGTCATCTGAAGAGAATACCAGGGAACCAACAGCCGTAGAGAATTACGCTGGAGAAATATACTGAACAAAGAACACATGGAAGACAGCGCTTATTTTGTATAAGCGACAGCATCATGAACAATCAGCTGCTATAAATGAAGATAAACGTATACAACGCACTGGAGAGAGACTACCCCGTCCGAAACACTTAGACGATAGATGGTAAAAATGTCAACAGACAGAGCAAACCGAAGTATTTGGGAGTCACATTTGACAGGACCCTGTCCGTCAAAGACCATGTGGAGATTGTTATGAAAGATGCCCCCCTCCCCCCCCCCCAAAGGACTCAGTGCACTAAAAGCTAAATGGACATGGAGTAGAGAATGCTTTTCACACTATATCAGCACATGATCTTTTCAGTGATTGATTAGGGACTTGGACTGCTTACTGTCTCAAATAGTCAGATGGTTAAACAAGGGCGCTTACTGAACGCAGCTATGTGAACAATTATGGGCTGTACCAGAGACACTGCAGTGGTGTGTATGCGATATATCTCTAGTTTGCCGACTGTTGGAGATAGGCTGAGTTGAGTTTAGTTGAGTTGAGTAAAGAATGGACATCACAGTACTCGGGATATTCCCATGCATGCTTTGTCCTCATCTTCAGCAGCCAGCGCAGAGTTCCAGTACTGATGGTACCAGTCATAATCTGGTTAAAAGTCCGTCTTGCCTTTCCTCTGAGTGTAGTGAGCCGGCTAGACTTTCTGGTTACATTTCATTGCTTGTTCCCAGAGGGCCTTGACCACATCTGGCTTGTCATGTATCAATTCACCACCCAGTGGTGCGTATTCAGCCAATCTGTCTGCCTGTTCATTACCTACCACGCCGGCATAGCCTGGAGAAAAGATCCAAAGTATGCTCACCACCCGTGACCTTTCCAGTGAAGCTAGCCACTCTGCTCGAAGCATCCATGTCCTCACATTTTTCAGCATGCTTTCAGTCTGTTAAAATTACGACATGTGTATGCATCTTGTTCTCTAGCCACCGGAGAGCTGCAGTTACCGCCTCCACCTCCATTCTCATGCTAGATGTGGAGTTAGGCTGAAGGTGCGAAGCCATCTCAGAGTAGCGGCAGACATAGATCACCCTTTGCACGAAGCCCTGGAAGAAGTTAAAAATCAGCGGCTGATAAGAGGGAAGTCAATGATGGCTCAGACAGAAGACATAATAAGACAAGTTTGCATCATGGAAAACATTAGGTGAGGACAGGAGTGGGTCAGCGTGCAAGCAGAACAGTCATATTTGTGTAGTCATAATTACATTGAGCCGGAAGTGCAGGGAGTGGCCAGCAGGTGGAACGAAGGTGAAAATTCAGCAGGTAATACAAGATAATTCTCGCTCAGAGGGTGTGATTATTTATACAGACGGTCCAGTGTCAAGGGGCACAAGAAGTGCTTGGTTTATGGTCGACGTTTAGTCAGGAGAGCCTAGCATAAAAAGGATAAATACGATAATCATACGAGACCACAACAGCCTTTTTAAGTTGAGCTGAGTTGAGTCAAGAATTGACATCACAGCACTCGTGGCATTCCCATGCGTGCTCCGTCCTCATCTTTAGCAGCCAGCACAGAGTTCCAATACTGATGGTACCGGTAACAATCTGGTTATATGTCCGTCTTGCCTTTCCTCTGAGTGTAGTGAGCCGGCCAGACCCTCAGGTTACACACAGGTGCCTTATTCTCTCCAGGCCATAATAATCTTGTTTCTCTACTTATTCCATTGCTTGTTATCAAAGGACCTTGGCTACATCTGCCTTGTCATGTATCAATTCACCACCCAGTGATGCAGATCCAATCTGCCTGCCTGTTCATTACCCACTACGCTGGCATATCCTGGAGACAATCCAAAGTATGCTCACTACCCGTGACCTTCCCAGCGAAGCTTGCCACTTTGTTCAAAGCATCCCTGTCTTCACCTTTCTCAGCATGCCTTCAAAGTCTGATACAATTACGGTATGTGTATGCATCTTGTTCTCTAGCCACCGGAGAGTTGCAGTTACAGCCTCCACCTCCATCCCCATGCTAGGTGTTGTGATGTCGTATGCTAGTCTGTCTTGAACTAAAGATTTTCATTGGCTTCCTTCTTAAGAATACCCCACCCCCCGTGTGGGTTCCGGGGCCCCATTGTGGGGAAAACAAGAATAGACCCAATGCCTCCCCTAAAGCATGTCGTAAGAGTCGACTGATTGGGGAGCTTCCTTTGAAGTCGGAGTGCATCTGCCGGAGAGGCAAGGAACCAACAGCCTGTATTCAAGAGAATGAGATCTGTAAAACTGATGCACATGCAACACTCAGGTTCTGTAGCAGGACTGCAGTTCAGTAGTGGACGAGCAACCAGAACTTTCTGCCAGAGTGTACATCTGGTGAACGCGAAGAAAAAGAAGAAGAATACCCTTTTTCTAACCTGGAGGACCAGGGTGCTAGTCTGGTATGGCATTTATTCTCAAAACCTGTCCGACATGGTTAAACCTGCCAGGGATATAGCTCTGAGAATCGTTTGAGCTTAGAGCCCACACACCATCACGACTGTGTACCAGCACAATGGAACATGGGCGCCGGAACTGTGGGTCCAGGTGCCCCCCCCCCCAATAATTAGCTCTTTGCTAAATGCAGATTATATTAAACAAAAAAAAGGCAGTTATTTACCCTGAGTACAAATAAAGTAAACAGGAAAACAACCAGTCTGGCTCAGTGATACGGCCTGTCTGCATATTTGCTCTAACTAAGAATAATAATAAAGCAGTTAGAGTTTTTGTGTTTTTAGGCTATTTCCGGGCTAAAAAATAACAAAGTCGGTTCACCGCCAACTCTAGATTTATAGCTAAAGATGGGCGTGGTCGGTTTGGGGGTCAGAATCACCCGCCCACCAATACACACTTAGGAACTGGGGGTGGGGGGGGGGGGGGCTTGAGCGCCCGCTCAATTTTTAATTTCATGTTAACTACATGGTGGCGGGCCTGTCGTGTGATGGATGGTCTCTGTAGCACAGTTCAACAATTTTGCATTAAAAGATGGAAGGGTGCAAATGAATAGACCAGTATCACAGTCCCAGCGGCTGACTGAACGATAAGAACACAAGGCTCTCACGCGGAAGACCCAGGTTCAAATCCATAGTAAGGTTGTGCGTTTTTGTTTCTGTCGTGGGTAAGAATAAAATTCTAACCTACACAGTCCGTGGCGACTACTCTAAATAAACACCCAAAGATCCCCTTCATGTACACCTGAAAGGGTTAAATATGGTCAGTGATGACCGTTTCTGACCCCAGGGGACAAAAACCATAACTACATCAGGAGCTTCAGGTCCAACTTTTGAAGCTGTTTTAGAATGAGCGCATGCGCGTAGTTCGCCATATTGTTTAATGGTGGCTTGAATGTTTGTGATTTTCAGTTCTAAGCAAAAAACTACAATACTATTACTAAGAGATCGGTAATCTATTCAGTACGTTTCCGAGGCTTAAATCAAGCCTTTCAGTTAAAAGAATGACAGAATCTGAAAATGCACCACAGCCGGATAAGAGAAAGTTCATTTCAGGTGTTGTCGAAGGTGAGTAATGTGCAAAAAATGAAAAATAATATAAAAGATAAGATAAGATGGATGTCGTAAGTAAAAGTAAATCGTTATTAAACTTTGGGACTTTGAAAAAAAGGGGTGGGGGGGGAATCCCACTAAGGTACACATCACCTCTGATTATTCCTCTGAATGTATCTACCACCACACATCTCACCTCACTGCATTATTATAGGGATTTTAGTCAAAAATTTTTTTTTGGGTTTTTTATTTTTAAACCAAGACAGCTGAATAGAGGTTGAAAAACTGAGTCCAACGGTACCTCAATGAAGTCTGTATGTCAATTCTAAGCGGAGATATTCACATTTCAGTGACGGAAAGTGCCCTCAAAAAATTATAATGGAAAACACAGAAACAAGATGGCGGCGTGTTCCCAAGTGAAAACTGGACCTAAATTTATCATGTTTAATGTCAATAACTCTCAAGTTTTTGGCTGAACCCCTTAGCAACCATATGTCATTGCTTTCAGGACAGCAAACTCTAACTAAAGTTGTTGCCTTTTAAAAAATATGATGTGATGCAAAGCTAAATAACATAAAAATGAGTCAATTTATCAGTATTCATTAAATACCTTATGAATTTATTATTATTACCCAGTGAGTCTTGCAAGACGTATACTGTAATATATAAATATGGCTCTCCTGTCAAATCCGGACGAAGAATAAAAAGCCTTGGACGACTTAGTCAGAGTTCTCTCCCTTGGCCGCACTGCAAACAGTGATCGGAAAAGCCAACGAAACAAACGACACACTTACCTATCATCATACGGTTGCGTGTAGGGCTGCGCACGGTTGCGTGAGGCATCGTGAAGGGATGCGTAGTCATCATACGGTTGCGTGTAGGGATGCGTAGTGTTTGGGTTTGAGTTAGGGGTAGGGTTAGAGTTAGGGGTAGGGATAGGGTTAGGGTTAGGGTTTAGAGTTAGGGGTAGGGTTAGGGTTAGAGTTAGATGTGAAAATTTTGACGTAGGATTTCGAAATACTGGCCGACAATCTGATGTTTGTGGGAGTGGCGCCACTGAAACTCTGCCAAATATGACGCCAATAGCGTGCGGCTGGTGCCCCCAATCGTTGGCGAAATGTGCGTTAGACCAGCATCCAGAGGCCCTCGATTGTTTCTGTGTGTATGGGACTGTGCGCGATTATAGGGAACTCCGGCGTCAAAATTGTCAAAATCTAACGCTAAACCTAACCCTACCGCTAACCATAATCCTAATCCTACTCCCTAGCCCTAACCCCAACCCCTAACCACGCTAATTTATCGATCATTAAAGCATACAAATCGGCAAAAACCAACAAACACAACACACCCAAAAAAAAACCAGAATTGTCCTGCAGCGTCGAAAAAAAAACCAGATCTGGGGGAAACAACCAAGCATTGGCAGCCCTGATGTCGACGTGACTGTCTTCTTTGTTTCGTTGGCTTTTCCGATCACTGTTTGCAATGCGGCCAAGGGAGAGAACTCTGACTAAGTCGTCCAAGGCTTTTTAGTCTTCGTCCGGATTTGACAGGAGTACCTATAAATATATATATATAATTTTGTAACTATTCTTCCTGCTATGAATCATCTCTTTCTGTTTGTTGAAAAATTCTTTTTCTCGCACTTTTACTTGTGTGTGTGTGCGTGCATACATCTGACCGAAATTTGCTTTATTCCACTGTTTAAAAAATGTTCAATAGCGAGTGGATTGACTTCATTGCATCGTTACTGGTTTAGTATGGCTTGGTCTTTCTCCACATAACTGAACGGCTAGCGCATGCTAAGAGCTTAGCACAAAGCCTGAATACCGTAGCTCCAGCAACAGCCCTCAGGTCTCCGCTTACCCAAAAAATTCATTTTTTAGTTGAACAACGCAGTTGTAAGTGAACGTACCGCAACCTTCTAAGCATGAGGTTATTGGCTTGACCACTTTGCTACGGAGACCCCCATTTTGTTTTATAACCAAGTGAAAATGAGCGCCCCTCTTACTGATTTAACATAATCCTTTTTTCAGTCTTTGCGAGTTATTCTTTCATTTTATTGATGATGAGGGCATTTCACCATAGTGTTCCGCTCTTCTTCTTAACTAGTCACAGCTCGATATTTTATTTACTTGTTCAAAATAATCTAAGGTAACCGCCCGATTTGTGATTCAGTGCTATGTTTTTCATAGAGTAAAATGATTAAATAAGCTCCTTTGTGATTCGCTTTGGATTTATGTTGTGTTTTCATGGAGCAGGATTTCATAAGCTAAGAGGAAAAATAACATTTTATTTTTGTAAAGTATCTATGTCCCATGTGATCTGTTTGTTGGCTAGTATATATTAGTATATATAGAAAATGATCAAATATTAATCATAAGTTGTAAGTAGCCTTAGCTGTAAGTAAACTTATGCACAGTTAAACAAATTATAATATTTTATTATTAATTTCATTGATCATCAACTTTCTAAATAAGCATATCTAAAATCTAAGTAAGTCAGAACTACAATTCTAATACTAATACATAGTATCAGTCATAAATAGTACTTGTTATGTTATACTATCTAAGACAATAAAAATGCGCCACAAAATCATAGTGCAGAAATATATGGCAGACATCTTTTAAATGTCAATCTGGGAGCGGAGAGTGGGGGTCAGCAGGTAAAAAGGCCTTAAACAGGTAAGGTCCTTCATGCCCAATGATAGGTTATGGCTTAAAAAATTCTATAATGGCTAAAGATTCCAAAAATGATTTAAAAACTACTTTAATGTGATTTTAAAGTATATTAAAAAATTTTCAAACCAATGACTGTGTCCATTTTCAATGCTCAAAATACCCTAGCCAAATGGTCCATGTCAAAAACGTGGTAAAACATTATTTGCAGCTATTTAAAACTATTAAAACTGATGTCAAATGAAAGTTAGAGACCGTTAAATGATTAATAGAAATAAAACTTGCATTATTTTTCAACTGTTTTTATAAATAACCACGTGGCGGCCATTTTGAGAAATCTCCGATTTAGCTCTCAATACACGATTAGGAACAAATTCAAACTTTCAACTTCCTCCTGTACAGATTCCAACAAAACTGCCCAACTTTATGTAAAAATGGACACAGAATCCAAAAATGTCACTTTAGAGTCTTTTATTTTACCGAAAACAAGAGATATTAAAGAAAATTTACTTCCCGCATGGTAAATAGGGAAATTTATTTGGCTGAACAAAGATCGCTACGTAAGTTAGGTGTCGTTTTGTAGAGCAACCTCTTCTGAATAACTTTGAGCCCAACGTATTCGATTCAGAACAGCCAGTGTTGAGCGACGGGTTTTCAAAGTAACTGATACGCAAAGGAGCCATTTTCCGTGGACCACCGACTCCATCTTGTAACTAAGCAATCTCTACTTTCGTTTTTAAGTGGGTCACTTGAATGATCGTAAACGCTATTATTAAGTTTATTGCCTCCTAAATTATCCTAAACACTACCCACTACTAATGCTTACACTTGTGTTTTGGTATATTATTTTACAATAATAACTACCTACTGTGATAGTGAATATTTCAAGGGCTTTCTCTTGGGCCAGCAACTCTCTTGTATGGGGTAGAAATATAGAAGCAATTATTACAAATGAAAGTAATTTGAAGCCCTTCTAGTGATGTGGTTGTACAGTTATTTATTTATAATACAAGAAAAGTGAAAAAAAATAATAAAAAAAAATTGGCTCTCCTACTACGGCCGGTAGACAACAGTATACAGCCGGTTAGTCGGGAGTTCTGTCCCCTTGCTGCAATGCAGTTACGGAGTGGAAAGGAGGGAACAAAACAAATGACATAATTACTGTGTGTTGGCGATAGATAGCATGCACTGCCCTGCTATAATCATACGGTTACGGTTTGGGGTAGAGGTAGGGTGTGGTTTAGGGTTAGGGTTACGGTTAGTGTCGCCGCATCTCGTCTTCGCACAAACTTATGGTAGCAACCCAAACCCTAAACCTAACCCAAACCCTTCCCCTAACCCAAACCCAAACCCTAATCGTATGACAGTAGGGCACTGCACGCTGTCTATCGCCAACACACAGTAATTATGTCACTTGTTTCGTTCCCTCTATTCCACACCGTAATGCGCCGCAAGACGCGGTAATTGAACGCGGTCGCTAATGTGAGTCGCAGCTCGGGGTTGCCAGTCATGTAGACGTCACTTTGTTGTGTGATTCGTGCCTTTTCCACTCCGTAATTGCACTGTAGCCAAGGGACTGAATTCCGACTAACCGGCCGTCTACTGTTGTCTACCGGCCGTAGTTTAAAGGAGAGCCAAAAAATCTAATTTGTGATCACGTCCCTCCACAATTAAAGGCATGTATCAGTGTCTATGTGTGTGCATGTACTCTATGCTGAGACCCTTCAGCGCCATGACAAATTACTATCAAGTATCTTCTTGTGCTGTCTTCCTCTGTCTATCTTTCCACAAATCTTTCCAGTGATCACAGCAGTTCCTTTACTTCTCATAACTTGACCAGAGAGTTATGTCTCTTTCTGAAATTTGTGACAAGATATCTCTGGTCCCATACCTCTTTCAGAACATCTAGATTACTAATTTTGTCTGTCCATGGAATTTGAAGCATTCTTCTGTAAAACTAAAACCACATCTTTGAGGCCTAACAACAATTATTTGGCTTGTTTACTATAAAAAAATAGTTGTAATAATAATAATTAAAAAAACATAACACACGTAAAAAAAACAACAACACTGGAGGACTGGAGGGAGAAAAACATGGCATGTGAGCATGAGATAGCTAGCTCTACAAGTGCTTTAAAAAGACAGATGCAGTAAATCCAGTCAGGTTACAGAAAAAATGGCACCTGTATTAAAATATAAACACACGAAAAAGAGCACTTTTCAACACACTATTCTTAACAATGCTTTGCTGTCAGTGTCAGACGTATTGTCTTTAGAAGACGGAAGAAAACAGTCACGACAGAAATGAAATGTTTTTAGATCATGCTAGGTGTAACAAGGAAAAATCCACTTAAAAATGATGATACCAGGAGGAGAGTTGGCACAGAACCAATGCTGAATTTTGTAGGTAGACAACAAATCAAATGGTTTGACCATGTAACAAGGCTGGCAACAGACAGAGCACCGCAGAGACCAATGTTATACAGATGCAGCAGTTACAGAGCCAGATGTCGACCATGCAAAATATGTACCACAAAAAATATCAGGAGACGCTGAAAAGGACTATATATTAAGCGAACAGAAGGGCCAGTTTCAGAGATCTCTCCCTACCATGGTGCTGCGAGGCATTTCAGGAGTAGATATATGAAGAAGATTAGAACATCAGTAAATGAGCAAACAGAGGTTTGTGAGAGAGTGTTGTTCATCCACCACAGGTGACAAAGAGCACCACTTAACATTACACAACCAAAAGTCAGTGATTATGAGTACAAAGATGGCTAATTAGTCCAGTCTGAGCCCATAAGGTTCTTGAACAGTGTGTACAAAACACATGGTAATGACAGCTTAATAATTGGATGAAAGTGACTTGCACAGTATGCTGGATTTAAATGAGGAAGAGTTGCGGAATGTGTCAGCCTCACTGTCTCTCCTATGTCCATCTTGATTCAGTGGCAGGACAGAGTCGAGAAGACTGAAAATTGGTCTAGGTGCAGTGAACGACCAAGTGGTCTTGAGTACCCTGCCTTGCTCGAAGCTCTTCACAGAGCAAGCCAGTAATCACTTGTCAGTCTGTTGAACCAAAGGGGTTTCATCCACACAACTAAGTATACAACCAGGGTGAGATACAGAGTATCAGAGATCACTTGCAGCCAAACTCCATTGAGTCAAAGGAAAGATCGACTTAAAAATTATGACGCCAGGAGGAGAGTTGGCACAGAACCAGTTGAGTTGATTTGATTCAAGAACATACATCACAGCACTCGTGGGGCATTCCCAAAAGCACTCCATCCTCATCTTCACCAGCCAGTGCAGAGTTCCAATACTAATTGTGCCAGTAGCATTCTATTTAAACGTCCGTCTTGCCTTTCCTCTGAGCCTCGAGCATCGGCCAGAATCTCACCAGACTAGTGATCCATCTGCTCCTCTGAACTGTACACGCTCTCCCACAAGGCACTGACCACGTCTGGCTTATCATGCATCTGTATTCAACCAAGTTGTGCAGAACCAGCCAGTCTATCCATCTGTTCATTTCCCAACACACTGGCTTAACCCGGAAAAAATACAGACAATACTCCTCACGCGTGTCGTCCGCAGTGAAGAATGCCACTGTGCACGAAGCATGTCTGACCTTACCTACCTGAGCATGCTTTCTCAGTTAAAATTACAATGTGTGTGTGTCTCTAACCAGCACATTCCTGTCATCTGTCATCTTTCGATTCTCTGTTATCTTGCTTGGCGGCCTGGTCTGTCCTCCTTGAGTACCCGTGACCTGTGTTATCCTCCTGGTTTATGGTTATGCATGTCCTTCTGAAAGCTTGTCAATCTCTCACGTTGGCTGCTTGTCTAACTGAAAGATTTATGCTCCCCTTAATTGCAACAACTGTTCTTAGAACTCTGGGTGTCATGCTTAAAGCAATCTGACATATCCTATCTCACGCTTCCATGCCAGCAATTGCCTGTAAATTTCTTCAGAACTAAATGTAATTCACCCTTTATCCATAGCACCTGTTCATACTTAATCCCAAAGGTTCCTGGCCTGTTATAGAATATTAGGAAGGTTGAGGGCCACTGCTCTAGACAGTATGACAACAAAGAGAAGATGGAAATGGCTTGGCCACGTCATGAGAATGAATCCTGATATACCTGCCAAAAGAGCTGTCATTTGGACACCGGATGGAAAGAGAAAGAAGGGGCACCCAAAAACAACATGGAGATGAACGATGGAAAGTGAACTGAGTGCTGTATCGCTGACATGGAAGACTTCACTGAAGATTGCACAGGACAGGAAGGCACGGAAAATCCTCTCTGAAGCCTGATGATGATAAAGTAAAGATGGGGAAAAAGTAGGTAAGTGTTGTGGCTGCATGGGGTACAAAGAGCTAAGAAAACCATATAATTTAAAGAGTAACCAAAGAACATATAGTGAGTTGCTCATTAATCTATGAATGTTGCTAAATGATGGTACTGAATGATGAATAAATTTATCCTTTTTACCTTTTTTTTTATGTTTCTGTTGTTGACTACTACATTTTGTTGTTTGTTTGTTTATTAGTTTTTGTGGTGGTAGACTACTGTGTGATAAAAATGTTTACCTTTTTGCAGTTTGTTAGTTGCTGTGGTAGACTTGGTTGGACTTGACTAAATGATACATGGATTGACTTGGTTTCTTTTTCTTTGTAGGATTCTATGGCAGACCATGGAGTGCTGATCAGAGAAGGTTGCTGTTTACCTGGTAAGTTCTGAGGATAATAACCGAAGAAGCGATGACATATTTTGTATACCCCAGCAATATACAGTATACCCATACAGGGAGTATGATCACACATGCCTGCACACACATACTGGGTTGCACACACACTCTTCTCTCTCTTTTTCTTTCTTTCTTTCTTTCTTTTATTGACCTGTCTTCTACTTCTTTGTCTCCACGGCTACCTTATGTGTTTTCAGTGCCCCTAACTACACCTGAGGTTCCTATCACCACGACCAGCTCCAGCTGACAGGCCATGCGGCTGACGTCACCGGGTCAGGCTAACGGTGCGTTAATGCAGCGGTTCTCAAACAAGAAATAAACTATTTTTGACAGTGGTGAGGGAAGACAAATTTTAAATTTTAAGTATTTACATACCTTCTTCAATAATTTCAAAATTTTTAGCAGACTTTTCTTGATTATTGCCACGGCACCCCTGGCATACACTCACGGCACCCCAGGGTGTCTCAGCACCCAGTTTGACAACCGTTGTATTAAGGCATCGTTAGCTTCATTTCTATAAAAACAAAACAAACATTGATAAAGACTTCTAACACACTCCTAAATAGTTAACACAGATAAATATATTTATCATTTTTTACATTCAGGATGCACAAATCAGGGCTCAACACCTATATGTATGCACCAAAAGATGACTACAAACATAGAGCATATTGGAGAGAGCAGTATTCTGTAGAGGAAGCAGGTAAATACTTGTGCTGCCTTTGTTGAATTCATTTTATTTATACTTACTTTTACTTTTACTTTTTCCTTCCACGTATGCCGCTAAGCGTTGTGGGGAGATGCAAGTTCCTGTCATAAGCAAGGCGGGCAGCATCTGATGTTCTGAGGCCATGCTTTTGGCAGGTTTCGGAGACCCCGTCAATCCACCGTTTCCTTGGTCTTCCTCTTGCCTTATATCCTTATATTTTATTTATAAGCAAGGGCCAAAGTTACAATGGGACTCTGAGGCTATGCAATATTCCGTGAAATTATTGGGGAAGGCTAATCAAGTCTCACGTTATCAGTTGTGGTTCCACCTTTGTTGCAAACAGACCACCTTTACTCAAAAAAAACGCTTGACAGTGTCAGGTGCATGAGACAAGCAAACAGTCCCAGGAAGAAAAAAACCCAACTCACACGCACATTAAATGCTTGAGGCAGCCGCCAGAAGTGCCAGCACTAACAGTCAGTAAATGAAATTCTTGTTTTAAAAAATGTAAACTACACCACATAAATCTGAGATTATGTTAAATGTACACCTTGTAGAACAATTACTGATAAACTGCATTCATTCATTAACTTATGCCTGTCTGAGAATAAAGGGAATTGAATGGTATATTCTTCTTCTTCGATCCTTCTGTCAGAAAACTTATATCAGGAGGCAGGAAGCCTTTATGAAAGCTATTGTGCAGTCTATATCCCTTCGTGTATGATACAGTTTTGTCTTCATTGTGATTGGAACAGGCCAGATCGCGTCTCTATTGGCAGCATAGTTTACAGTGTTGGAGCATTCTCTGGTGCCATGCTACAGGGACACATCTCCATGTGTTATGAAAACCACTGATCTGTATAAACTCTAATCCAGCTGTAGTGTGGATAAAGTCTACTGTGGTTCTGACTGTTGGCAGGTTATCCCTAAGCCAAGTGGGGCAGTGGTTGTACAGTTTTAGTTTCACATTTGATAGCGAGAGAGAGAGTTTGAGGTATTGAATGGTACGACAACCACTAATCCTGAGCTTTGGGAGAGAACTAAACAATTTCCAGGGAATCAGGAAGTGAAAAAGAGACACTGGCATTGGATAGGACACGCATTGAGAAAACCTGAGGACAGTACAACTATAATGTCTGTGCACTAGAACCCTCAAGGGATAGAAATAAAGGTAGACCAAAAACTTGGCAAACACAGCTAGAGAATGAAGTTAAAAAGACAAAGAGAGCATATGGTGAGCTGCATGCAATAGCAAAGGATAGCATTGGTGTGAGTTGGCTGAGGGCCCATGCTACATCAAGGTATAAAGAACAGCAGAAGAAGAAGATGTTTTGTAGAAATATTCCAGGCCATTCACTCTTTGAATCCCAGAGCGTTTAGCATCACAGGCCCAAGGGGTTGTCAAAAGAGACGTAAAATTGGCGCATCATGCGTTCATTGGGCTTCTAGGCAGTAACCTATGAACGTATGTTGCGTTCCTTGGGAATCAAAGAGTTAAGTGTGCAGTATATTGTTTTAGTCCGCCGTCCTTATTTAAGTTCACAATGAGACAATATTGTAGTAAATAACCGTATCTGGTATTCTTTGCTAAATATTTTCTCCTGTAAAAATGTCCCTAGATAATCTGACACATCTCATAAGTGCAGCCAAGGAAAAAGATGTCACGTTTGTCTACGCTATTTCACCTGGTTTGGATATATCATTTTCAAATATTAAAGATATCCAGGCCCTGAAGAGAAAACTGGAACAGGTAAACCTCTTTTATTTTATTTAGTTAACATAATCTTACAAACCGAGCTGTTTGTCTGTGTCATTATTTACATGGAATTATTTGTAATCAGCACCATACATTGATCATTGACTTCTTTATTTCTGATTTTCCTGTTTCGCCGTTCAGTGTTTTTGAAGAACTTTTGTATTATTATGCGGGATTGTTTCTGCTGTTTCACTGAATTTTTATTTACAAGGTCTGCTATGTTTTTCAATTACTGCTATTTCATAAAATTATTATTTACAAGGGTTGCAACTTTTCAGTTGCTGCTGTATCCAAGTACTGATTGCAGTGTTCTGTTTGGTAGAAATAGTTCCACAGCAGATACTGCTAGTGTGATATGAAATGTTAGGCTTACACACCTTTTAGGCCTTGACATGAAGTGATATACCCATTTCTCTTCCTCATTGCCTTTTCTTCCCTGAAAATTTAGGAATTGATCTGATGTACATTTTTAAAAGGCCGGGTTGATCCCAGAATTGTTGTTGTTCTTCTCTAATCCTATTCTGCCTTTTTGCATCAGGGTTTGAAGAGGAATCGAGCCAAGATGGTTTGTGGGAAAAAAATGTCTAGCTCCGTCAGGACACGAACCCATGACCGTCCACATACACATTATGTGGGATTAAGCGTATGTTCGTAATGTTTCCTCCATAGGTTGGGGGGGGGGGGGGGGCCAGTGGGTCTGTCCCTCTTCCCCAACTAGTAGACGGCAGAACTCAAACAGGGAATGTAATACATCAATTTCTGCTTCTCCTTTGTATCAACTAACAAAACTAATTTTTCGTTCTTTTTATATTTCCTGCAGTTTCTGATTCAGACATTGCAAACTAGCATCTTGTTGTACATTAAATTAGAAATCTATGAATAGAGTAGTTTTTCTTCTTTGTTTAAATTTGTGATCACCAAATCTATCTTCAGTGAAAACCAACACTTTCCATCACACCCTGTACAAGAGTCCTGGGGTACAACAAGAGGACCACTGTTTCGAATTTTCCAGACTTAAACCAAGAAATGAACTTTATTTGGGGGTGCCAGGAATGGGCCTGGGAGGCAGAGTGGACCGAAGAATGAAAAGTTTGAGAACTACTATCCTCACCTGTCATTAACTTTCTAGACCAGGCTAGTCAAACTGGTGGCCCGCATAAAGGAAATATTCTGCAATAATTTTTATTAAATGACTTCAGTTAGCTGTCTTTTATGGCCCTCGGTGACCCTCACTTGGACATGTCTGCTTCTCTAGACCAGTGTTCCCCATTTGGTGATTTGTGGAACCCAAGGGGTTTATGGAACAAATTTACAGTCTGTGATTCGTTACAAAACAAAACAAAGCTTTCAGCTTTAGAATGGTTTTGTTTCAACAATTTTGATATTGATAAATTATAATTTCTCACAGTATGACTAAAGGTATGTAAGTCTGTCTAAGCCAGAAATTTGAAAATAAGGAGGGTAGGTTCAGATGATTTTTTTTTAAAACTATTTAGGAGCCTCTGCTACAGACATTGATGTTGTGATTCTTGACATTTTTTAAAGCTGATATTTAAACTTTAGTATTTAAGCTTCGTTCTGTAATTCTGTTTCAATAGGTGGCCACATTTGGTTGTGAAGCCTTTGCAGTACTCTTTGATGACATTGATCCAGAACTTTCTGAGGCAGACCGTAGTGCTTTCCAGTCTTTTGGAGCAGCTCAGGTTTCAATTTCCAATGAAGTTTATGAACATCTTCACCAGCCGAAGCTCTTCCTCTTTTGTCCGACAGGTAAGTGTTGAGTCAAGTGATTACATTGGGAGCCACGGTGGTGTAATGGCTGGACGCTCGTCTGCCAGCCCAAAGGCTTTAGGTTCGAATCAAGTTGGATTAAAAAAATGATCTTGGTTCCCAGGTCGGCACAGTCTAAAATTGGTACCAGGTAAAGTACTAGGAGGTAAAGGCAGCCACTGGCGTGGTGCTGACCATATCACCCAACTAGTGCCATCATATTCTATAGAATATGAATCTAGGAATATAAATCCGACCCAGCCTTGTATACAGGCTTCAAAAGAAACCTTGAGACGTTGTTGAGAGAAGCCAGAGGTGCAGGGGCTTTATAATCTGTGGCCAGGTTTTAATAGATTTGTGTTATAGCCTCAGACACCTGTTGCCAAGTTTTAATAGATTTGAGTTATAGCTTCAGACATCTGTTGCCAATTTTTAATAGTTTTGAGTTATAGCTTCAGACAATTGTTGCCCAATTCTAATAGTTTTGATTTATAGCCTCAGATATCTGTTGCCTAGTCTTAATCATGAACTCAGTTACGAAGAACTCTCACTTGATGTGAAAAAATTTTGATCCTAGCTGGGGTGCTTTGTTTATATTAGTCCCCGGTTAGCACATAATTGTTAAACACATAATCTTGATTTTTCAACCCCTTGGAATTTGTGTTAACAAAGTTTACTGTAACATGACAGTCATTATTCTTTGGCTGTATCGTAGAAAGAAAAACAACAACTGAAATATATTAAAACAGCTAGCAAGATCAATAAACAGCGAAGGGTATACACAATGGAAATATGGGCTTTGGGAAGAATGTAAGATATGGAATGATAGTGAGAAACAGACGAGGCAGTTCTCCTTGAGACAGATGAAAGTCATAAACTGAAGAAAAAAAAACTAGATTAATTTAGTATTGTTTTTCAGAAATGTTATGAGAAGGAATGGACTTGTGACAGCTGTCACGAATTATGGAAAGAAAGTAGGAAAAAGGCTTAGAGCAGAGGTGGACAAACTTATGGTCCACAGGCCAAAACCGGCCCGCCAAGCAATTTTTACTGGCCTTCGTGGCTATACAGTATCAACGATGAAAAAGCAAGAATCGAAAGAGTGATAACCATAAATCACGACGCTTAACGGCGGAAGTGGTTGATGATGATGATAACCAGAAACTGATGTCACCAAATATTTGATCCTGCTAAGTAAAACACATGTTGAGGACAAACTCCAACAGTAACGAGGAAATCTGGGTGTTATTTTGATAATTGATTTTGTTCTGTTTGGCCCATGATCAGGTTGGTAATTTCAAATTTGGGCCATGAAGAAAATAGGCTGCTCATCTCTGGCTTAGAAATTAGTGAAATCGTTCACACATTAAGAAGAAGACGCATTTTTACAATTCCGTTTTCCATGTTTAATGGAGGAGGGTTTAGGGGGTTGGGTTGGAACAGGATTCTTCTCATAGATTTCAGGCAGTGGCGCAAGAATTGCAGCATACAAGAGATTGAGGCCTTGGTTTGTTTTAAATTTTTCTGGTAAAAAAAGATACTGGTGCTCACTGTCTTAGATAAAAGATGCAGGGACTCACCACAGAGTGTTTTTTACAATAGCAATGGAAACAAAGATGCCTTTAAAAGAGGTGCCACTACTGCTTACTATTGCGGCCTGCCAGAAAAACAGCCCTAGTTAGTAGTGAATACATTGCAGCCAACCCAAATTGAGGACATAGATAACAACAACAGGACAAGCAAATACTTCTCTTGTTAGATTTTGTTGAAGAATGTATGTGATTTGCCTCCTGAAAATTACTCACAGATGTATTGATTTAATTTTTGTTTTGTTTTAATGCAGAATATTGTGCATCAAGAGCAGTTTCAAGCGTGCCATCTTCAGAGTATCTGAACTGTATAGGGTCCAAACTTCTTCCTGGAATAGATATTATGTGGACAGGTATGATATGTTGGCAGAACAGAACAAAGTAGTCAAGATGGTCATATGTTATTCTTAGATTTCAGTCATTTAGCCTAAACTTGGAAACTCTGGAGAAAATATCTCATGTCAGAAATTCAGAACAGTGTTTTCCAATTGTGAAATAATTCTTTGAGTCCCAAGGAACGCATCATATGTTCATAGGTTCCTACCTAGAAGCCCAATGAACTCATGATGCACCAATTTTATTACTTTTTTTACTACCCCCTGGAAATATCTCATGTCAGAAATTCAGAACAGTGTTTTCCCAATTGTGAATTAACTCTGAGTCCCAAGGAACGCATTATTCGTTCATAGGTTCCTACCTAGAAGCCCAATGAACGCATGATGTGCCGATTTTATTACTATCTTTACTACCCCCTGGGCTTGTGATGCTAAACCTCCTGGGACTCGGAGAGTTAAGAAATGACACAGAGAGTGCATTTTACAGTTTGTTGCCTGTTATATTTCGCTGTGTACTGCTGAAGTCCTCCCCTTGTGGGATGCAATTTTTTGTCATTTGAAGCCCCACCCTGGCTTTTGCCTGAGGCCCTGAATATAGCCGGGCCATAAATATGACCTAACGGCTTAAAGGGGTTTCTGGTACCTCTCCACAGGTGATCCTCATCTGCATGGTGGCACTTTGTGTCACCGGGTGCTTATCGCTTGTGTGATGTCCTGGTGGGGTACAACAAGAGAGAGAGAGATTTAACCTTAGCTTATCAGAAGCATTACTACAGAGAATTGACACCATCATACAGGGTCATTGAAAATGATTGCCAGTATTTTAAACTGTTATTATAAAAAAGTTTAGTTTAATTTCAGAACCAGCATCACGGCACTTATGGCATTCCCATATGTGCTTCATCCCCATCTTCAGCAGCCAGCAAAGAGTTCGACCTCTGATGGTGCCAGTGGTGGTCTGAATGTGTGTCCCTCTCGCCTCTTCTGTGAGTGTGGAGTGTCAGCCGGATCTCCTGGTCACTCCTCGCTGCACCATTATCTTCAGCTTGTGATAATCTAATTGTGCCTCTGCACTGTTCACTTACTTGACAGCATCTAGCCTGTGATGCCTCATTTTACCACTAAGTGGTGCACAGAACCAGCCAGTCTGTCTGCGTGGTCATTTCCCAGCACATTTGCATGCCCTGTAAAAAATATCCGAAGAATACTAACTACTTTGGACCTCTGAAGCGATGCGTTCCACTCTGCACAAAGCATACGTTTCACCTTTCTTAGCAAGCTTTGTGAGTCAGTTACAGTCACAACAAGTGTGTGCAGCCAACAAACGCCCCAGTGACTGCCCCTACCTCCATTTTATAAAAGAAGTACTTAACCCTTTGGAGACAGGCTTATTTGGAGATCAGCCCATTCATCTTTCTGGCTATATTGTTGTGTTGGCTAATAGATCAGTGAGTTCATCTCCAAAGGGTTAAGGGATATGCGCTAATGTCATCTTAAAATGTACAGAAAAGTTTAAAGTTTTTAGACTTACCTAGTAGACTTCGATATGTAGTAGTAGCTCTGTTGTCGCCTAGATGGTATTCCTACCTTTACCTTTAGTCTTCTGCAACACCTTTCTTAACATTTTAAGACACCACATGTGTATATCCATTAAATACTTATTTTATAATAACAGTATAAAATCCTGGCAGTAATTCTTGGTTACCTTGTGTAACAATAAATCACATTGTATCTTGTTACACTGTACATCTCATCATACTATAATTAACCATGTGACCCTTTTGTTGCTGGATTCCCTACCCTTTTCCCCACTGCTTCCATGAATTTCAAACTTGGATTGCGCAGTCCCTGGTGGTCACTTGCCTGCTGGTGTGTCCTTTGGAAGCAGTAGACTCTTTCTTCTTGATGTGAAAATAAAAACAGAATTGAAATACAAAGAGTGCTTTTAGAGCCATCTTATGGATGTCCATATGATGTTTCACCAGTATATGCAGTGTTACATCTTTTACAGATTTCATTATCTTTTGTTGCATGTATGTCTGTATTGATTGATGTGTGCATTTGTACTTTATACATGTTAGCCTTGACTTACCTTCTCTTCTTTTCACCAATATGTTGCCCACTAGTACTCTCTTTTGCTTCGGTTGCTATTTTGAAGTTGTTTGGCTGTTTGTTTTGTGGTCTAAATGCTGTTAGTTTGAGAAGTGCGTATAGGTTGTCACTTGAGATAACATAATTGTGTGCTTTTTGTAACATTTATTTGGCAGAAAGCTTCTCTGCATAAAGAGACAGCCATATTTATAAAACAGAGCACAGTGAAGTTTTTCCTCTGCCACTAAGCACCATTTAAACTCTCTTTTTTGTGTTTCTTCATGTCTTATGATGTGATCAAGCCACGATGGCCATTTTTTTCATACTAAAACTGTATTTTGTATCTGTCATATTTTCTAGACCTTCAGTTTTATTAATATGCTACAAAATATTTTTATCCCTCAAGGTCCAAAAGTGGTAAGCAAAAAATTGACTATTGCATCTCTGGAGGAAATTGCGGCAGTGCTAAAGAGACCAGCAGTAATTTGGGACAACATTCATGCCAACGATTATGATCCGAGACGTATCTTTCTTGGCCCTTATGATGGTCGGTCTCCAGAAGTTATACCATACATAAGTGGTGTGATGACCAATCCTAATACTGAATTTGAGGCTAATTTCATGGCAATACATACACTTGGTCAGTGGTGTCAGTCAAACCCCGATGGAGTCAAGAAGGATATTATTAAAGGTAAGATTATTGTGTGTGAATTTTCCCCTGTGGGTTCCTGAGAAAATTAATCAACCTACAGCCTACCCAAAGGCATGTCATTAGAGTAGACTAATTGGGAGTTTCCTTTAAAGTCGGAGTGCATCTGCCTGAGAGGCAAAGGACCAGCAGTCTGCAATCAAATGAGTCTGATCTGTAAAATGAATGCGCATGCAAAACTTGGGTTCTGGAACAGGATTACTGTGAACAAACAACCAGAACTTTCCGCCTGAATTTACAGTTGGTGAATACAAAGGAGATTCTTTGTGATTAATCTCTTTCTTCTGCATTCTCTTATAAAAGATTGGTTGGTTTACAGCTAGACCTTTCGGCCAAATAGACCCAGTTTCAGCAGACTCTTAGTTAGTCACCTTTTACTAGCCTGTTAAGTGGGGCAGGTCTGTTCTTTTTTTCTCCCAAAATGGGGCATCGGAACCCACACAGAGAGTATGACTAATGAAACACTGTAACACTAATTTGAAACATGTTTTGTATATATATCTTCTTAGCTGTCCCAGCTGCAGATACTTGTGTGTGTTGGTGCGCAATCGGCTGCATTTGTTTACTTGCGGTCAGGCCGAATACGAATAGTGGATACCTTACATCTTCTTAAATTCAACGAGGCTAGAAGAATGCTACTCCCTACGAGACCAGACAAGTGGAACACCTTGTACGGAGGAAAAGAACAGCTTGTGAAAACATGTAAATTCCACTACATGGCATTGGGCCAAAGGGCGAAAGCTCATGCACCACTGGATCAATAACAACAACCTTACATCTGCTTCTGCATTCACTGCTTTAATGCTGACAACATGGGCATTTGGCTTTGTTGAAAGTTAATGCAGCACAGCTTTCATGCATTAACTAAGCTGTCAGTGACAATTTACAGGTTTAGTTACTTGTTATAATACTAAGATACTTTCATTCCTAATTATTAGTTACCACAGACTTGCTGAAGGATGAGAAACATAAAATGTTTTTACATGTTTACTATTTTGTATGAATACTAACTAGACATGGAAAGAATATAAACTGCATCCACATCCAAGTTGATAATATGAAAATGAAACGAGCGGAAACATATAAGTACTTGTACTTGGGTGCAAACTTCAACTGCTCCAACATACTGAGAGAACAAACACAATCTAGAATACAATCTGGAAATAAAGTATACTATGCCCATCAACATCTGCGATGGTCAAAGTGTCTGTCACGCAACACCAAGATCAAAATATATAAAACGTTGATAAGACCGGTCGTTTTATATGGCTCTGAAACTTGAAGCACAAATAAAAGAGATGAAACCTTATTACAGGTTTTCGAAAACAGTCTTACGGCAAATTGTTGGACCCATCAAAAATACAAACAGCCGGGAATGGAGAATGAGAAGCAACAGCGAAATTCATAATCTGTTAAAATCACCATTGATCACTGGCATCATGAGAGCTAATAGACTGAAAAGGTTGGAGCATATTGAAAGAATGTCAGATGACAGAGAATTAAAATCTGAGGAATGGTCGCAGACCACGAGGCAGACCAAGAAGAAGTTGGAGAGATAATGTTCAGACAGACCTGCAACAATTGGTGTCACCAACTGGGAAGAGAAAGCCAACCAGAGAGATGAAAGGAGACGAGCGATATCTGCAGCAATGAACCTCAAGGGCTTGGAATGCTGAAGAAGAAGAAGAAGACTATTCTGTACTACATTATGTGAAGTAAAAGTTCAGCGTACATTTGACATGAATGTTTTGTTGAGATATATTTTATAAATTATTCAACTTCGTATTCGGCCGAATAGTAGGGACAAATATTCGTATTGGCCGAATAGTGAAGATCACCTATTTGGTGCAGCTCTAGTTTCAGGTCAGCCCAAAACATGCTGGCCAGTGGAGTACTTGGAATTTGCTTCAGGTCTAGCAAGCTAGCAGCGGATTTATTATCACTACAGAGAATACAGAGAGATGTAAACGGACTCATCAAACAATATTCAACTATGGCAATGTTAAAGGTCTCCAAAACAGTAAGGAAAGCAAATCAGCTGGTTTGCTCACATTTAGAAAATGTCCTGTGATGGCATACCGTGCAAGGCATTCATCAGAAGAGAAGGATGTATAGCACAAGATAGACCAGGAACAAGATGGAAAGATAACATCAGAGAAACTGTACAACAGTATGATGCATTTCTGGTTGAAGCAACCAGAAGAGTAAGGAGATACGTTGACTAACTTCTTCTGTCATGTTCTTCTGTAGCATTAATTCTTTTTACTTGCAGCAGCTAGTTTAGCTCATCCTGTTCCATATTTCAAAAATTTTAGTTGAGTGAGACAACGTACTATTACTCTAACATACATAACCTCTGAGTTATAAATTATAGTATTGTAGTTAAAACCGGCCTGTTACTGAAAGCGTAATGCTCATATATCTGTTGATTGATTTTTCTGTTACATTTATGTAGTTATTAAGTTTTCTCAATTGATTTGTTCTGTTTGCAGATGATCGTATGAGTCCCATTGCCTCAGACATCAAGTTGGAAACCGAAAGTGATTTCAGCTCCGACGATGATTTTTCTACTTACAGTGACATCAGGTACCAGCCAAAGGTGGCACTGAAAACAGCAATGAATGACTGGCTGACAGAAATTCACAGTCAGCGCGAGCCCCCGAGGCAACCATTTCCCCGTGCCATACCAACGTTTTTACCAGGATCAGTTCCATCAGGGCCACCAGGAGTGCCACTGTGTCCTCCGCCCGGACCACCACTGCTTCTTCCAGCAACACCACCTTTAGCAGGTACCTCAGCTGTACCATCATGTCCTCCTGGTAATCCAGCAATTCCACCTGGAGTCAAACCCATATCCATCACTGATCCTCCACCCATTGACCACATCCCATTAGCTGCCCCGCCATGTTTAGATCCAGCAGAACTACAAGCTCCTTCCACGCCGCCAGACAACTACATGCCTGCTTCTCCACCAGCCGGTCTTCCTTTACCGGATGTCATCAAAACCTGCCTGACACCGTCCTTCACAACTGACACCATCACAACCTCCGGGATGACACCTTTATCTGCCATCTGCGTTTCTGCTTATGCACCAGAACCGATTCCAACTTTCCTTCAGCCACCAAGCCTTCCTGTGAACAGTCTGACTGACTTGCCAACAACCAATACAGTCCCAGTCTCAGACGGTCCCCTGTCTGCAGAGGGAGGTGCTGAACCAATGGAGGTAACCGCTCCCTGTTCTTCTGACTCCACAGATGCTTCTTCGGGCAATCGTATCAGTAATAACAATATCACTCCAACTCTTGAAAAGCAGAATTCGTCTGACAGTCTAATGCAGATAGAGTCGGAGATCAATGACAAAAAGGACGACGAAGATAATATCTCAGATGACAAAAATGACTTTGCTTTTTCCGAAGAGGATGCACAGTTACTCGCTGAACTCTTTTATATGCCATTTGAACATGGTCAACATGGCCTATTCTTCCTTCAGAGGCTATTCTGGTTGAGGAACAATGCACACACCCTCGTTGAGAAAAGTGGAAAACAGACAACTTCATTTGAGGTAATGTTGAGTGACATTCAGAGGAATGTTGTATCCATTTTATTATTAGCCTAACTCTTTAAGTACCAGGGAACTTGTAGTGTGTCCATTGATTAATGTTTTTATTGTACATATTTCTTTACTGTTTATGTATCATTCATCTGATATGTTAATGTATTCTAACTCACTTATTACTAGTTGTACTTTTGAATAAAATTAGAAAAAAAAAACCACTATTCTGTAAAAAAAATTCTTTAAATTAAAAACTACTTGGGCCCCAGAATATTAGAATTTTCTCATAAAATATGTTTGCTTATTTAATAATTTTCATCATCATCATCATCGTCTTGTTGAAGGTCCTTCGCAGAATGTCAGTCCTAACGCTGCCTATTGGCAAGAATCAGTAGAATCATGTGAGGGGGGGGGGGGGGGGGGTAGAGGTTATAGACGCACTGCTCTTTACAAGCATTTTGTAAAATAAGAATAATTAGAGATTTGTTGAAAGCAGATATGTTGCAGCCTAGCTGTAAACCTCAAACAGTTTGCTTGCTGCTCTTTTAAGGGACAAATACAGAAGAAGTAGAACTGAGGCATGATGTGAGACTGATGATCATATAAGATGACTCTTCACCATGGCACATGGTGATGATAATCTTCAGTTTCATTTTGAATGAGTGTATTGACTTTTTAAACGTTTAGGCAACCACTGGTAACAACAGTTATGAGATAAAGAAGAAAGCAGTATATTGTACACGTCCTGAGAAGAAACAAGTAAAGAGTTACCAAGCAGGCATCTAAATGTTGAATTAAGAATCAACATCACAGCACTCGGAACATCCTCATAAGCGCTCCGTCCCCATCTTCAGTAGCAAGCGAAGAGTTAAAATTCTGATGGTACCAGTAACTGTCTGATTGTATATTCGTCCCTCCTTTCCCCTGAGTGTTGAGTGTTGGCCATCCCCTTGTAACTCCTCGCAGCACCATTCACCTCAGACCGCAATGATCTATCTGTTCCTCGGCACTGTTCACTCGCTCCCAAATGACCCTCACAACATCCAGAACCAAATGGAAATAAAAGAATTGGGGAATTGGGAATATCCAAAAGAAGCCTTAAAATAAATGTTGATGACGAAGCCTAAGAGGCATACTGAAGTCAGTCCGCAATAGTGACAGGATTGTGCAGGTTATATGAGAGTGGTAGAATATAATTTGTGAGCCCTATGTGACATGTAATGGCACATACATCAAGACAGTGATGATGCTGAATGATTTTTTTTATGTGTTAGTTACATTTACTTTCACTGAAGTTGATTTGAACACGAAGTATTATACTCTTCAGGCAACGGAATGGCACCATCTGGCAGAAGAGTTCTCAGGCCGGGTGGACGAAGCTGTGAATCTCCTTCTGAAACTGGTGACGGGTCCCAACAAGTCCTTCATGTGTGATTTGTATTCGTACCTATGGGACCTGGTCAGCGTACTCAGAATTTGCCGGGCATTTGTCCAGTGGCTAGGTATTGTGGGGTTTCTGTGTAATAATGTGTGTTAAATCCTAAATGTTTTTAGAAAATATGACCCTTAAGTTCAGTTAATATCCTGCTAAGAAATAGCAAATGCAAACACTGTACATAATTAACTAGTTAATTAGTCGCTCTAATTTCACAGCAAACAAGTAACCCTATAATAGCTCCATTCCTACGATAGCATTTACCCACAGAATGCCTATCGTAGCTTTTTGCGAGGTTTGAGGTTTGAATAAAGGATCAACATCATGACACGCGGTTTGTAACCCATAAGTGCTCAGTTTTTCTTCTAACTCAAGTCTGAGTCCGAAGAAGCTCAGCACAGTGCACAGGCTCTGTAGCACTGGCGAGGATTCTAAAATACTTTGGGTAGACTTTTAACTCCACATTTTGCCCACACAGCGCTGTTATGATTCTCTTTTCGATTTCTAACTGCCAAGGGATTTTTTACGTGCGCAACCATGCTTACAGGCGTCCGATCTCAGTACCCAGAGACCAGGGGGAATTACTAGAGGTCCAAGTCCACGTGAAAAAATCCCAGCCCTTTCAGGGCTTTCTCTAGCACTCGATTCGGACACCATGGCTTGGGACCACGCAGCCTCACCCCCTTACAGTGTACATGATACCTTACAAAGTTGATAAGAGATGTAGTTTCATTGCACTGGGTTTAATCCCATCTGATCAGTTGTTCCGCACTGAATGGCTAGCTGCCTTGTCAAAAGCATCACACAAATTACAAACTCCATTGATGCAGCAACAATCCCCAGGGATATCTGTAAAATTTGGACTTGTGAAAGCAGATGCAGTGAACTTATAACTTTCAGAGCTTGAGGCAAACAGTTTATTCACTTGGCTCTGGAGACCCGTAGATTAGATTCATTTTGAAGATGTTGTAAGCTTCAGTGTGAAGGGTGGAGAGATATGGTGGAGAAGGACCACAGTTCTGAGATATTCAGAAAAGTGCCATTTCTAGATATTGCAATGTTTCTCTAACTTTAAAAACATTTTGCAATCAAATATGTTGCATAAAGCTAATGAAAAAAATACCCAGTGATGATTCATTAAAATTTACTTGCCAGTTATAAGTGGAGATATTTCTCATTTTGCTAGATTAATTTGTGTCATAGCTGCACAAATGACACACAGAGAAATAAATAGAATTGGCAGCTTGCAGACTTGCCACATGCCATGATGGCTTACTTACTTTGTATGGCACATTGAGGAAGATGAGACTCAGCTGTTTTATTGATTGCAAGTTCTATCATTCATATGTTCTGAACAATTAGGAATTCGCAAACATAAAACACTATGCTATAAAATTCTATTAGTTATCTGAAAGCTGAGTCCTCTATGAGTACCTGCAAAGAAAGATGATTCTTGTCCTAGACAGTGACAAGATTTACCTATATAAGGTTTGGACAAACAGCTGTATACAGATTTAATACAAGTCTTCTGAGCTGAAGAGCTGCTTGTCAGGAACATGAAACATAGCCAGAAGAAAATGTCTCTGCCATGAATTGTACATAATGGGGAATAACAGCAACTGTGCAGACAGTAGCTAATAGCTTGACTTTTTCTATTTGAGCTGGTTAAAAAGCTCACAGAGCAGTCGACCAGGAAGTCAGCTGCATCGCTGTCAGTTTTTCCAATGTGGGGGGGGGGGGGGGGGGGGGGGGGGGGGGGGGGGGGGGGTGGGGGGGTGGGGGGGGGGGGGGGGGGGGGGGGGGGGGGGGGGGGGCTCCTAACAACATGTCATAAAAGTCGATAATTAGAATTTTGCTGACATCAGATGTGTTAGACTGAAAGACGTAAAAGATGTCACATTGTAACTGTAGACCTCAACACAGTTTGCCAACTGCCTCTTAAAGGTGAAAGCAGATGAAGAAGACTGTCACTTTAATAGGTATTAGGGGTCAGACATGGAAAGCAGACCCGCAGAATGTATGCTAAAGTTGCAAGTCTCCCAAGCAGAGATGTAAAAAAAAAAAAATTGCTCTAAATAGGCACAGAGCAATGGTCGTTTTCAAGAAAGGAGAGAGAGTGAGGATAGATTCAGCATGAACATATCTGTTTCCAAGTGACGTAATGGGACCAAACATACATACTCTTTGCCCACATTACATTGGGATATATTAGAAACACAGTGCCATCAAAAACAATGGAAATTGAAATCACTGCTGTCTTTGGGAATAATATATGGTGAAATCCCAATCTTTTAAAATTGTGATGTGTATAAATGTTTTATTCTTCTTAATGTTCAGCGGCTGTAAAATCCAGCGGAAAGTTCTGGTTGCTTGTCCACTTCTTATTCTGGACTTTTAATCTCGTTCCAGAACATGAGTCTTGCGTGCACATCCATTTAACAGATTTGTCTTACTTGTATGCAGACTGTTAGTTCTTCATGTCTCAGGCTGATGCACTCCAACTTGAAGGGAAAAACCCCTAATTAGTCACCTCATACAAGGATGCTTCTTAGAGGGGCAGGAGGTCTGTTCTTTTTTCCTTCTCCCAAAACGATGCAGTGGGATAATATCAGGCATCGTTTTAGAAATGTTGCTTTGTTTCTATAAAGATACATTAATTCAGCTTTAAAAATGAGATTATTGCCAAAGACACTTTGTCCACCCTGTACTGATCTTGTTCAACCTTTATTTTTCAGCTAAAGGACTTGCGACACAGCCACTGGCACAACAGACTTTTAGCTGTGTTACATGTAGGCATTTGGCACTTCTCATGTCCTTACCTGCAGTAGTTTGATATCATTTGAATGTCAAGTTTTGTGTGTATGTCTGATTTTCAAGTACAACTTTCCCATCATGTTCTGTCCTTGTTAATAAAAATCTTTTTCAGGCAGGTCTGAAGTTGTGCTCTTGATATTTCATATTCCCAGCAGGAGAGTTAGGCTGCTGTAAGGAAATTAGTGAGTTGGTGAAACTGTTTTAAGGACTTTTGATTTTACATGTAGTAATCCATTTTGACCACAGTTTTCTGGTTACCTTGTAATCTGGTAACTTTTCGTTGCTCCGCTCCTGTGCTAACAAAAGCCAGAATACTCATCATTGTTCCTTGAAGAAAAATTGACACAGACTACAGTCTTGGCAAATCCAGTAGCATACACACAAATTAAATGCATAAGGCAGCCATCAGAAGTGCCAACACAAACAGTTTGTCGCTAGAAATACATTTCTTCGTCATTACTTTGTAATGATGGAACTGATGGAAAGAACCTGAAGCATTGTAGATATTTGTGGAATTTCATTGCAGTTAGTATATAAGAATAGTAGGAACGACTGCATGAGCGGTTCGAGTGCTGGCTCATGTGGGTTCAGTCTTATATCAGGAATGTTTTTTTCCTGTTGAGACCCAAAATACAAATTCTACTAACCTCCAGAGTTTATAGTGACTGCCGTGGGTCCTTAAATCCTCAGGCTCACACCTCTCCCGCCCCCTCGCCACGTTAAAAAGGAATCAGACAGGCGGAAAAGACATATAGAAATGTATGTATATATGTAAATATAAGTATGACTGATCCTTCATGCAGACTAATACAGATGGACTAAGTGTTAGGTGCAGTGGCACAATGTAAAGAGGGCTAAACACTTCACATTACAATGGCATCACATGCTGTGAAATTATCATTTATTTTGCACCAGATTTACTAATCTGTTATTTATCCCAGCAGCAGAGATATTAGTACCTGAGAAATAAAAAAATACTGCGATCACTGCTGCAAGCTGACGTTTGTTCTGCATATAAAGAAGACCAACATACATGTGTACATTTATAAAAATTTACTTCTCAACATAAAGATAATTGTACATCCTTGAAGTTATAAAACGCCCGGCTCTCTAGCATAGTTGGCTAAACCAGATTGCGCGGTGACTGGGTGACGAACTCCTTGTGGTCCGGGTTCACTCCCGGGGGTAGACAGAAAAGCCACATTTCTCCCAGATTTACGGTATTTACAATGGAATCAAGGCCGAAAGGTTGCGATATCCATAATACCGAGCCTAGGGGTTAACAACTCATGGCTTCTGGATACTAAAACAAACAAATAACAAACAAATGAAGTTATAAAACTTGTAGTTTTACAGAATGTAAGTGAGGATCCCCTTGTACAGGAGTAGGAATGATTGACCTGCAGTTTAGTTTAACTGTCCTGTTTATGTGTGGTGTTTTTTTTTTTTTGGGGGGGGGGGGGGTGGTATCAAGTGGTGTATATACATATGTCTGGCATGTATTTTTAAAAATTTGAAAAATTAATGGGTGTTTTTTGACAGTTAAATAAACTATATAGAAACGACACATTCCTCAATAATTAAACTGTAAAGAGAGGATAACTGTTATACAAATCAAAACAGAAAAGTATAATTATCAGCTTTAAAGTGACAGAGTAACAAAAGGAGTTAGTTTTTGACATTAAAGCTGACAATATACAATTTTATTTCATCAGTTTCACCATCTTACTGTTATTTTCTCCCAAATTTACTGCTGAAAACCTTATGCTATATATTGTTAATACTTCTCCACCAGTGTACAGGCATTAAATATCTGCCTTCCCATGTTTGGAAGCACTGATTTGGACACTGGATTTTGCAAAGTACTGCTTTTGGTTGTTGAGAATTTGATATTTGAATTAAATATGTAGTTGCTGATAATTTTAAGATGGCAGTTTGTAGGAGACTTATCTTTTAGTGAGCGTGACATTGAAAATTATTGTTAGTTCTGAGAAAATATTGACAAAACTGTCACTGAATTTGTTTAAATGACAAGCACAAAATTTGCTAACATAGAGCATGGCAGCCTAGGCTGTCTCATTGTATAAGTCATATTGCCGTAACCATGAGTGAAATTTCTTCCAACACACTGGAACTTATCTGTCAGTGGTTTTGGCTTTTAACCTGTTCAGTTTGAGATACTGTTGACTAAACTGTCATTAGATTTTTTAAAAATAATTGTTAACTAGACTGGTTGTCTCACTGTATGTCTTTAAGTCATATTCACTGTTTGCTGTAATCCGCAGTAGGGTTCATATTCACTGGTTGCTGTAATCCGCAGTAGAATTTCTTCTAACCTAATGGGAATGCCATCTATAACACCTGCGTGTGAGCAAAATTTAGAAAGCAATACTTTGCAAATTAGTTTTTGACCTCACTGTCCTGCAGCCAATCTAAAACAAATTTTCTGAAATCCCTATGAAGTGTATAGCTTGCTCAGAATTTCATGAAATCCTTTAGTAATAAGTGTTCATGCCTGGCATATGCATGCTGGAAATATTTCTCTTAGAAATAACGTTTTGGTTTAACAAAATTTGATTCTGTCTGAATCTGGAAATATTAAGAAATATTTTGATTTGACGCAGTCTTAAATATTGCAGAGGTCTTCTGGGTGCAGTTTTGAGCAAGCATATACATATTTTGCAGGGCTGCTGTTTTCGAAGGCATTGCCATTGTCAAACATATAATTGTTAATTTATTTCTTGTTACATTACCACAGAAAGCTTTTGACCAAATTAATCTGTGTGAAGTAATACACATTCATTGTTGTATTTATACTTTGCATGTATTTTAAAATTTTCTCTCTTGTATTCTATTAGTTCATATTTGATAGTAGTGTGTTACAGTGTGACGCTGCTAAGCTACAGAAACATGCACAAATCAAAATTGTTTTGCATAAATGTATTTATAGTACATGATAAAGTCAAGCGATACACATTTTAAGGCTTGGAAAAAAATGACAATGGCTTAAGAAAACAGTTTGCCTGGTTTTTTGGTGAAAGTTGTACTTAAATCTGTTCTTTCTTTCTGTCTTTTTTTTTTTTTTGGGCTTGCTAAGTATACCTATATAATCTATTTCATTTCTATTTTTTTACTTTTGTACACTTGATTATAAATGTATAGATTATAGATTATTTTATAGGAGTGTTACACTGAAAAAATAAAAATATAAGTAAATATAAAATAGGAAATTTAAGTGATTAAATAGTTTAATTTCATAGTGATGTGTAAATCAGTAGAGGACTATTTCTTGCTTTCATATTTGAAGAGTAAATAAGTAAAAATAATCAGCCTATATGGCCTACAAAGTGATCATTATTTAAAAGAAGATAGTTACTGTATTAGTGTACTGTTTTGTGTTTGTTGCTCTGTGCTGGGCTAATCAGGTGCTCTTTGTGTTTCCCTCTTGACAAATGCAGGGTTTTCAAAAGGATATAAGGAAGCATTTATGAATGGTGACCAAGAGCCCTGGGTTTTCAGAGGAGGTCTTCAGGCAGAACTGCAAGTATGTATCCGATCACAGGTGGACCATTGGAGAGTGTTAGAATATGAAAGCCACTTTTTCACTAAAGCACACTGCTTCACTAAAGCACACTGCTTCACAACTGGATAAACCAGATTGTGGAAAATGTTAAATTTATTGTTTGTTTCTAAAATTGCCATTTACATTTTTTCAAGATAAATCTCAGAAGCTTGAGCTCAATCCAGGAAAATTAATATTAATTTCTTTTTTTTTTCTCTCCAGCTGCTGCTCACGTTTATTGCACCAATATCTCAGAACCCCTTGTACTTGATCCTGCATGGCAAGTTTATCAGACATTACAGATCTCTTATTGATCAAAACACAGGATTGTGTGTTTTGCAGCTCTCACCATGGCTTGCATTGACTGTTCTAGTGGTAGATCTGAAGTGTGGTTGACTTCCCCCCAGTTGTAGGGCACGTCAGGTCAGACCAGTTGTCCCTGTTGCTGGGCTGGCATGGAAACCTAAAAAAAAAAATGAATGTTCTTTCAAATGAGAATGTCTAGAATACTGAAACAATATACTGTCTTTGAGGTCAGGTTTTGTGTGTGTGGTTAAATTGTCTTCTGCCTATCAACAGTTGCCACCTGCTTGTAGTTATAAAAATTACTGCCCAGTTGATCCCTGATATGATGATATCAGAACTTCAAGAATTATAAACCATACAATTCAGTTAATGTGTTCTTTTGTTTACAGTGACCATTTAGCAAATGTTGACTGTATTTAATGAGAGCACATGATTGTTTGCTAATTTCTGCGGCACATTATTTGAGATTAACAGATCGTCCTAAGTAACTTTGACTGCCTCATCAGCAGATTGCTGCACTTTATTTAAAATCTAAAAGTGGCAAGTGTCAGTGGGCAGATGAATCTAAAGGACCTGTTATTTTGAATAATTAATTAAAGAAAGATACATGTTGGCTTGAAAGAACATTCACAATTTTAACTGGCAGATTAGCCTTTGGGACCAGATCTGATATCAGTAGAAAAGAATTACATGGTGTTTTTTTAAAGTAATCTTAACCACTTAGCCATGATAATTTACTTTCATTGATTAAATCTGGAACTTGCTCATGATAAATATTTTGTGACAGATATGAACCTTGTCCCAATATGGGACGCACATTTTTGTTATTTCAAACGCCACCCTGGCTGTAGTCGGCGGCCCTAATATAACCTAACGGTTGAACAGGGTTTCTGGGACTTGTGTTCGGGTGATTCTCATCTGAATGGTGGCACTTTGTGTTGCTGGTTGTTTGTCGCTCGTTGTGCGGTCCTGGTGGGTTGAACACCACTCACTCACTATACCAGCCAGGCAAACAACCACAGCTATGATTGCATTCAAAATTTGTTTCTTTTAAAATATAACATATTTATCATGAGAGGTTATACATTTGAAGTCTCCTTCAAAACACTTATGCTTTCTTTCCTAACTTGAAGGAGTAAAGCAAATGTTCAGCTGGTCCCAGAAGACAATTTTGCATAGAGCTTGATAATTGTTCAGAATTGAGTTCTCTTACAGATTGATGAGAGATACAGCTCCATTGTTTCATTACGTTACCATGACACCAGCACATAGGAATTTAATGTTACCAAGAAAATTTACAAATGAATTTATTAAACACAAGTTATAACCAGAAGGCTCACTGAGAGGGGAAAAAATGTGCACAAATGTAACCAAACGTTTTTGTGCATTGTTTTCCATTTCCCACTTCTTGAACTTCATGCTCATTACCTGTGTTTAATAAACATTACTTGTGTTTAGTTAAAGCATTTCTTGATATCAATTCAACTACGGTTGCCCCTAACAAATTTGCGAATGCTTCAGTCTCTTGTATAATTAAATATGTTCAAGCCTGCGGCTTAGTTTACTATGCAGTCTTTGCTGTGTCGGTTACTGTACATGAAAGAATACATAATGTAAGTGGGAGGCTCAGCAAAATGAAGGGCACACTCAAATACAAGTGAACAGAACACATCAACTAAGAAAAAAAAAACTGACTATTTACTTAAAACAAATCACAGATAAGAAATCTACATGTCTACAAACTTATACAAAATAATAAGCAAACTATGTTTTGAGTCTTTACTAATTAAAACTATATAGTAACCTGTCAGCTGTCTGATGCTCAGCTTTTTTGGGTAACATTGAATTCAGTGTTTTTACTCTAGATCAAATTTATAATTGCCAAACTGGTTGTGGACCACATAAAAAAAAATCTATTATAAACATAACATCCAGATTTCCTCGTAACAATATTTTTGTGTGGGATAATCTAGGATTAAAATCCTTCTATGCCTCTGGACAGATGCAATTACCCACTGAAACCTTTCTATATGTTCCTAATTTAGTCTGTTTAAAAAGCTGGTTATTTGCAGAAATCCATATTATTGAGGGAAAGTGGGGGAGACCCAATTACTAAGTAACTTTACACCAGCCTCACAGGTCAGTTTTGTCCTGTCCTGCATATCACAGTTTACCCACCCCTGATCATTGGAAATTAAAAGGGCATCAAGATAACGTAAATTGCACTGGAAAATAAAATAATATGAAGGTTCAGTGGTCAAACATTGTGTATTCCTTGTGAAAAATTAGATAGTTGTATCTTTAATACACACATTTTTAGGACATGAGTATATGTGACCAAAAACTGTTTAGGCATTTGTACAGTTCCTGATGTTGGCTGGAGAAGAGATTATAATTATTAGAGAGAGGAGTGTAGAGTTAATCTGAGTAGCCAAAAAGGAAAGGAAAAAAAAACCTTAAAAAAAAAAAAAAAAAAAAAACTTTTAAGACATTTGTACCACTACTGATGTAAGTGTGAGAAAAGATAATAGTTATTAAACTTGGTGTTTGAAAATTCTTGCAGCATTCAGAACTGTACACTAATCTTTAGGAAACTGAAGCATTCAATTCATTTGGAAAATATTGGTTTGCATAAAGGCTTGGAACACAGGAGCTGTATATTGCTGTGCTGAAACCCCCTTTTTTTTTAAAACAAATTTTTTTTTCAAATTTTCAAGATCTGAGATTGTGGTGCAATACTGTGCTCAGTGGTTGATGGACACACCTCCCAAAGTCTCATTTACTGTGTAGAAATTAGAGCTATTATTTCATGACTTCTTGCAAAAATTAATATTTCCTCAGGAATTTCTGTGTCAGTTTTGTTTTATACAAAAAAAAAAAATGTGCTTTTTTACACAAATTTTTAAATCTCTGCAGCGACTTTTGCCAATTGACAGTGCACACGACCTGTTTTATATTAAACCTCCCGACTATATTGTGACTAAGATGTTCAATTTGCGGCCATATAGGCCTGAAGATGAGGTAAGTCAATTTTCCTTGCAATGTTTATTATTTGCTTCCTTGATTTGTATTCGTCTTTTGACATAATTCTCCTTTTCTTTGTGTTCACCAGCTGTAAACTCTAATGAAAAGTTCTGATTGTTCATCTTGAGTATTGATGCATTCTAGTTTCAAAGAAAGCCTCCAGGAAGTTGACTCTTATGACATGCTTTTTGGGGAGGCAGGGGGTCTGTTCTAGTTTTCCCCCTACAAGGGGGCCCAAGAACACACATGGCGATTTGACATAATTATGTTGTATCTGTTGACATCAAAGCTGTGAATTTATGCTTTCTGCTGACAGACTAGATTCTATGGGCATTTGTTGAATGGATAATCCTTTCCTGTAACCATTATTTTACCTTGATGTAAATAGGGATTATGTAAGCTAAAGAATACAGTTCCCATACATTTTGTGATACAGTGTTTATAGGGCTGCAATGATACAGTGTTTATAGGGCTGCAATGATACAGTTTTTATAGGGCTGCAATGATACAGTGTTTATAGGGCTGCAATGATACAGTGTTTATAGGGCTGCAATGATACAGTGTTTATAGGGCTGCAATGATACAGTGTTTATAGGGCTGCAATGATACAGTGTTTATAGGGCTGCAATGATACAGTGTTTATAGGGCTGCAATGATACAGTGTTTATAGGGCTGCAATGATACCGTGTTTATAGGGCTGCAATGATACAGTGTTTATAGGGCTGCAATGATACAGTGTTTATAGGGCTGCAATGATACCGTGTTTATAGGGCTGTAATGCTGCTTTCTTGAGACAGGTTGAGATGTTGTACTTATGGGAATGTGTGAAGTGCTGCAATGTCGGTTCTTAACTGAACTCACACATGTCACTAGTAGGGGATCTCTGGCGGAGTGGGCAAACCGTTGGACTTGCATTGTGAAGGTTGCGTGTTCATGTCACGGCTGAGCTGTTCAGTTACAAGTGCAGTGTTTACGGAGACCCCTAGGGATCGTTGTGGGAGTTACTTGGATGGGTGGAGTCTCACTGCCTCCTTAACAGGCACGTCTTAAAAATCAGCTAATTAGGAGTTTCCATACAAGTTGGAGTGCATCTTCTGAGAGGCAAAATATCAGGGTAAGAACGAAAAGTATATCTGTGAGCTTCACAATATAACAAACGTGAACATCAAGGCTATAGAGCATTCTTCAGCACACATACATAAATAAGACAAGACTACACAAATAATATAACTTACTTTTGTATCTCCAGGCAGCCAGATCGATGTCTAACAAAAAGTCTGATGAGGCACGTAGGGCTGGGAACATAAATATCCAGGAAATGCAGGGGCCGTCGCTAAAGGTTAAGATGAAACTGCGTAGGTAGTTCAGCCCCCTAGGATTTAGATAAAGCTGTGTTACAGTTTAGTCCACTGGGCGCTGGAGTGGGTAGATTTAATGGCTGTCAAGTGAAGTGTTTACGGAGACCTCTAGGGATCGTTGTGGGAGTTACAAAGTTTGTGCGATGCTCTTCGTAGGGGGCTAACCATTTCTGCGGAGAGAGAAACGAGTCAAATGGGATAAAACCCGGCGCATTGAAGTCGTTCCTCTCAACTAGTATTTAGATAGAGGTGTCATTAGGCCATAAAACTATTTCCGTAGTCTTGTGGCCCCAGCTACCCCAGGTGCTTGGCACAGAATGAATTCTGAACGAGTTGTTTTATTCATGTTTTCAGGATGCTGTATATCACATCTGTGCAAAAACTTGCGATGATGGCATGGATGGAACAGATGTCTGTCCAGATTACCCTCAGCTATTAGGAGACAAGTATGTGGTTTTAACATCCCCTTTCACCTTTCATTATCAGCATTCATGAAAACAAACCCCTATAGCAGACCATGTCTTCTTTTTTATTTCCTGCCCTTTGTTTCCCCTGTGGAGCATAGGCCCTCATCCAACTTGCCCCCTTGTCCTATCCTTTGCAGTGACATTCAGCTCACCCCAATATCATCTCTACCTTTATCGTCTCATTCTTTACTACTTGCATTTTTTTTAAAGGTTCTTTTTATGCGCATAGGTCATATTATGCCAAACTCCTATTTTTGTAGCTCAGTTGGCACAGGCTGGCTGCCTTTACTTCCCTTTACCTGGTTTAGGCCTGGTCAAAACCTGGTTCTCATAGTCAGAGGAAGCGAAAGCAGTTATTCTTTACTTGGTTTGTATTTAGTAACTACATACGTTATTACAAAGCAGACTGTTTGGGTAACAAAATTACACAATATATTAAAATTTTTTTTTTTTTCAAATCACCTTGGGTCTGAATAAGGCCGTAACTAGCAGCTTTGCTTGTCTGCTTGGTGGTCATACATTCCCCCCCCCCCCCCCCCCTTTTTTTTTCCTGGATTTTTTTAAAAACTGACAAACTGATCAAGTTTATAGATTTTTTCTTCTCTTCATCTCATTTATTAGGATTTAATTTCAGAGAATTCTAACGATGCGTTTATTCTTGGCTTAATTTTAAAAAAAGGTCATTGTTTTTTTTTCTTTGCTGCTACAATATTGTAATTTCCCTTTCCCCCTTGACTTCCATAGATTTCCTAGGGCTGTGAAATTTATTCTAGCATTTTGCATTCATTTTTTGTTTGTTTCAATCCCCTGACTTGATCTGGATTACTGCTGTACAACTCCACATATTTGAGTTTCACCAAGGGAAATTTGAATATTGTTTGCCTGATTTATTCTCATCTTTGATCTTTTCTATGTAAAATTGTAGACCCCCAAAAGAAATGCTGCTTTCTTTTTTTTTCCATTAATATAACCTTAATTTTTTGTTTATGTTAGGACAAATTCAGTTTCTGTGCAGCACCAAGTTTGTGGAGCTATACCAGGTGTCCCATAAATTTTCATTTATAGGAACAATAAAATTATTACCACTGTAATTATACTGCTGAAGAACATGTTTAAGCAGAGCTGGAGTTATACTCCTTGTAATTACGCTGGTAATAAGTTCCTACGTATGGAAACATGGGACACACGTATTCATACATCAGTTCGTGACTTAATCACATTCATTTCTTTTTGCAGGTTAATAGGCAAAATTGTAACTCTTAGCCCAGATTATGGCTTTGTCATTGAGGATGAAGTTGGAGTGTGTGGCTATGTGATAGCTGCTGTTGATGCCAAGGAACTTGCCAAAAAGAGCAAAATGGCCTGGTTGCCTGCTATGTGTTCGAAGTACCCCCTTCCTGACAAGAAAGAGGATTATTCTCCTGCACAAGTAAGTTTTCTTTATAGATGTCTCACTGGAAGCAGTCTGTGAGTGGATGAGTCTGTTGGCTAGAATCGTTTTTTCAGTGTCTCTCATCTTTATATCTGTCCGCGTGTCTGTATCTTTTTTGTATAATTATGTCTCCTGAGTGTCTTTTTGTTTCTGTCTTTATGTATGATTACTCTTTTTCTGTTTATTTGTCTGTCCCTTCTCTCACTCTCTTTTGTGTGTGTCTGTGTGTCTCCACTCTCTCTCCTCCTCTGTCTGCTTCTTTGTCTGTCTGTCTACTTACTGTTTCTTTCTTTCTCTTCTGTCCTTTCACACGCTTTTAATTGTTTTTAAAATTGAATTATGTCCTTTCTCTGTCTCCTAACTGTCTGCTCTTTTCTTGCTGTTTCTTTATTGTCTCTCTCTTTGTGTTTGTGTATTATCACTGCCTCTCTTTTTTTTGTCTCCTCGCGTGCGCGCACACACACACACATCATGCTCTTCTAGGATCTGGAAAAGTATGGAAAGAAGGTAGCTTTATAAAAGTCAAATGTGTTTCCTCAGAAGACCCTTTAATGATTTCTTACAATAACTAGCTTTGTGACATGGAAACCGCCCATTTGTGTGCCAATTTCTTTTTGATAACACAGGGGAATCTTAACTCTTTGCACATAATATATAGCTACAAGTTAAGTGTTATATAATGCAGTTCACCATGTCAGTAGAGGAATATAGCCACCACTATTGCTGCAGCCTGTGCTAGGAACAGCTTGCACTAATTTTGATGATAAAGTTTTAACATTCTAGAGGACTGACTTCATTGAACCTGGTTTCATGCTATCTGACATAGTCATTCCCCCGTCATGCTTCCTTCATATTTAAAAAAAAACTGTTTGCAGTTAGAAAAAAGTGGGAACTATGAAGCCACAGAAATATAGTTTCACAGAAGAATGCTGACAATTACATGGACACCTAGAATGTTATTTTATATCACAGGTTTCGGAAACATGCAGACGCAACTTGTTTGGTCGTTTTGAGAAAACAAAAACAGGTATATATTGTTACAACTGAAATTATGGAAAAATTAATAGAAGAAAGCATGTGCTATGTGTGTTCCTGGAAACTGTAAGGAAAACAAAACATTAACACTATATCATTCATGCCATAAGAGGCAAGGAGATTGGTTTGAGTCTAGTCATGCACAAATGTATCATTAAAATGAACTTTTATTCATTGCCAGCCATTTGTTTGGAAAAAAAAATACTATTGCTTTTTAAAAAATAATGTCACATTAATTATTTGTTTCTGTTAGGAGATCATTCAGAGTTTCCATGCCGAACCAAGAGTCGTGTCTGATGAAATTCACGCTGTATACCCTTCCGTGCTGCGTTTGGATATTCTTCCTAGCCGAGTGGAAGACCCTGCTCTCCCACGACGACTGTTGGCCTGTGTCCTGTCAGCTTTAAAATGCAGCGGCTCGCGAGGTGTCCACTGTGAACTGAATGCTAGTGATAAATGTATGGTGGATTTCTACACCAAACTTGGCTTCTTCTCACTAACAACTGTTGAAGAAAATGGAGGGAGTACAGTCTATTTGGGAAGACCAATTTAAATGTTAATGAGATTGACTTGAAGATGTATTATTATTTTGTATTGTTTTTTTGATTCATTATGTTTGATTGTTATTGTTTACTGTCAGTATTTGTTATTTGTTGTAGAGAGTTGATTATTTATAGTGTTGTTTCACATTGTGATGCTGTATAAAAGTCAGTTTTATTGACTGCTCGTTTATTTTTTACAGATAGGGTATTGGATAAAATAGGTAGTTTTTAAAAAATACTTTAAAAAGTAGTTTAAGGGTAAATGGGGAAAACCCTGGCAGTGTTGCAAGTTGTTTGTTTTAATTATTTCATTCCTGTTCACCTACCCTTAACAATAGTTGCAATAGCATGATAGTATAGTTCTTCAGCTATTAAGATTTGTTGTTTTTCTCAGTGTAATTCACAGGTGGGATGTTGTGCTAGAGGTCTTCATCGGTCGTCCATAGTTTGTCTTGAAGGGTCATTCCTGTTCCTGTCTCTCTCTGGCAAAATCTGGGCATTCTTCCAAGGCATCTGGAGTTTGCTGTGGTGATCCATATCTGCAAGTGGCTGAATCATTGAGACACATCCACTTATGATCTGTGTGTTTCTGGTAAACCCATTAATGCTATCATGCTCTTTTATATAAATTGAAGTCTTAATTTCATTTCATGTGAAAGGATCGTTTTAGCTGTGTCTTTGCCTCTTGAAAACATTTAAGCAGATTTGTCTACACATGATAATATAGTTTTCAAAGCCCTACCTGTTTGCAATGAAACCGGTTTTAAAGAGGTATGGTGTTGAAGTAATTGAGAAGGATTTTTTTTCTCCATCATATAATAATCATGTCTGATTCCTAATCAAATTTGCGTACACAGCTTAAATATTTCATGCTACAATTTGCAGAATTTACACCGAGAATGTTATGTACTGAAAAGGAAAATTATAAATTAAAAAAAAATAGCAGTTGTGCAGTAGCACCCAAGGACGCCAAGAAAACATTAACACTCCTTGTGTTCAGAGCAGCTGAGGACACAGTAGTAAAATCACAAAACCACAGGCTTAAAAATAAATTTATGTTATGATGTCAGTTAAGACTGACTGAATTAGTCATCACTGGGCTGTTATAGATTTTACACCCCTAAGACTTAAGACACTCCATTTAAACTGCTAAGAGGTTATAATAAGGCAGGTCACGCAGGCCTACGAGGAAATGAGCAAGCTGATAGGCTGGCAGGTAAAGCTGCTACAAAGGGTGGACAAGCATTGGACTAGGCAGATATTCTGAATGCTCTACAAGGAGACATTTGCGAAGTTCTAATGATGACTGTGAATGTACAACCATGATCAGACTGCAAGAACAGCATGTTAAAAGGGGTATAGGCAGACAAGAGCACTATGCAAAAAGCCAATCAAATAAGAAACCAACACAAAACTGGTTTTGTGAGCTGCTACACGCTGCAGGATTTGCTAAGGAGGGGATCTTAGCACTTATGGACTGAATAGTTTAATGAGAATAATCTGTCGACTAACTAACCAATAGGGACACCTCTGATGGCTACACCAAATACCACTGTGGTGGATCCTACATCCTTTTTAGATAGAAAAACTTTCTGAAATATGAAAATAGCCTGATCAGTAAGTTACAGTATTGACTAGCACTAATTAAAGGATAGGAAAGAAGTTACAATAGTAGGGCGCACAGAAGAAGAAGTAGTAGACATAGAAGGTTCAGAGTCTGACAGTAAATTATTTATTTGGTAAATTGTTAATTTATTTATTCATGCTTTTTTTAAAAATACAGTGCTTTTAAAAAAAAAAAACCTCAACCATATTTCGTATAATTTAGAAACAGCCAAAACCCTCTTAAAGACAGAAAGTGTCTTAAGTGTCTTGACAGCAACTTAACACACCAGTTCAGTTTCATAATTATGGGAAAACATGTTATGTGTAACTATTGCTTTTGATCTCTACCCGTGGGTTGCACTGGTGGACATTATACATTTGAGAGTTTGAAGATGAAAACTAACATATCATGGTTTTCCCATAATATAATGTAGTTGCCAGCTTCTTTTTAGTAATTTTTTGTAATGGTTTCTTGCATGTTTAATTGCTGCTGACATTACTGATGCTCGCTGCTGATCTGTAACCACACATCACCTGTTGTTTGTTGTTTTTTTCAAAGTCAGTATATTCTTGCTATGTTAGATGACACTTATCTTTTTTTTTGTTCTTCCTACCGGTGGATTTTAGATAAGAAGGCAAGAGGCCTTAATGAAGACTGTGGTGTGTAGCATGTCCTCCACTGATCCAGCTTGGTTTCCATCAGAATGCCAACCGGCTACACCACAGGCAGAGGGCATGTCTGCAACACACGCCCGCCATTCTCAGGTGCCCGTCCATAAAGTCAAAGTGCCAAGTCCTCCAGGGGCACTTGTAATAAGGCAAACATTAAAAAACAAAATAGTTGCATCATCTGGATTGCTTACAAAATCTCAGTGTAATTTATTTAGAACTCTCCCTAGTTTCAGCAGTAGTAATTTTGTCATACCAATGAATTCCTTATTTTCTGTGCAGGTTATCACTTAACGAATGTTTGTATTAATTATTTGTTTTTGTCTTTATCCTTATTGCTTGGCCTCACAGCAGCATTTACTTCACATTAGAATTGATTGAGATGTTTCTGCCCATTACAAATATTTGTGTGAGATATTTAACAAGCTTAAAATCAAAAGAACCCGAGTTGTGGTTTTCCATGAAGCACCACACTAACCTCAAGAGTTTTTGCTGAATTGAGATGACCACAATCTTTTTGTTTTCGTAGACTTGAGAGTTTGAGAGAAATAAAAAAGAAAAGAGGTACAAATTGAATAATAAAGTGTCTTGAAGACAAATTCCTCTATAGGGATAGGACACACTTTGCATTTCTTCTTCTTTGAGTTAATTGGCAGTAAACTTTGAGGAAAAATTCTGGTTGTTCTTCCACTTTCAGACTTTAGTCTTGTTCCAGAGCTTGAGTTTTGTGAGCATGTTACAGACTGGCTTATTTGTATACAGCCTGTTGGTTGCTTGCCTCTCAGCAGGTACACTCCAACTTCGAAGGAAACCCCTAATTAGTTGACCCCTACGACATTCTTGTTATAGAGGCAGTAGGTTCTGCTTTTGTTTTCCCTAACAGTGGGGCTCCAGAACCCACACATGGAGCCGGAATACTTCACAGCTGTTCAGTTTGTCCATTGTTCTGTTGATGTTGCCCAGAAGAATCACTGTTTAATGCCAAAATATAACTTTATTGAAAACTGCCAATGTTTCACATTTTTCATGTTCTTAAATGTTGATTGAGACCATATCTTGATATGTCTCTGTGTCCTCAAAGGAAACATCCCTGATTAGTCATCTCGTAGGACAATGTTTCCCAGCGTGGAGCCCATGCCCCACGGGGACACACTGATTGTTAAGGTTGCTGGGTAAACTGTAAACATCAAGTATATAGGTAACTTCTGTCCGCCATGATTTCACTGTAAGACGCTAGGAGCTGTCACAGTTAAAAACCACTCGAGTCAAAATAGATAACCTTAGCTTACATTATGGCCAGCAAGGCTGTTATGTTCATGTCCATTTTCATATTTGGTTGAACTTGGATTTAATGATTTGCTGCTCTGAAAAAAACAAAATGGCTTAATATAACACAACAGGGAGACTTGTGCCTGAAACTAACTAAATTGGAACCTAACATAAAATCTTTTTGCAGTATGCATCAAGCGCAAGGATCTCACTAAATGTAATAAATAATTTCTAATAATGAAAATAGTATAGAAAAATTGTTCATTAAAATTATTTTGTACTTTAATTTTAGCCCTCCATTAGATGTTTTAAAAATGTACTTACTGTGTCCTCTTAACAATTTCCTCGTGATTTCTTCCTAAAACCCATCATTTAAATACCTTAGGTACACAGTTCAATTTTTAAATATTACAAATTATGCATATGTTACGTAGCAGGCAAACAAATTTTAGAAAGGCTTAGGTGGGGCATGGCACAAGAAAGGTTGGGAAATACTGTCCTTGGGCAAATATCTTGATATGACCATTATACCTGGTATTTTTAGTTCAGCGAATTTGTCTTCCTGGAAAAGAATGTTCCTCTAAGTTAAGAACTGCTTATTTGTGCTCCTGTAAGCACAAGATTTTTACTTTAAAGTAAAAAAGTAAAGGACCCTTTTCCACGCCTATAGGCGTATAGGGCCAGACCTATATTTTTATAGACCAATCGGCACAAGATGGGTGATGTGGTCAGCATCATGCCGGCCGCCTTTTCGTCCCGGGACCGCACCCGGTACCCGCTCAACAAAAAAGACCACAAGCAAAATATTGCACAAATTATTGCCTATCATATTTCACTGTATAATGTCAGGTACAATAACAGTTGAATATACTGAAACAGTTAAGTGAACCCTAACTGAAATCTTCTTTAGTGATCTGTGGTTGTATGCTTAATCCACTGTTGGCCATAAACTGGGATGTCATCTCAAGGTCTCTTAGGTTTCCCTAAAGCTTAGTTGTCAGGTCTACTGACTGTGACCACATGTTTCACAGCTCTGCTGAGAGAGGACAATCTTGCAATACAATTTCTGGAATCTGTTCAACGCGAAGACACTGACAGAAAGCTGTTTGACTCATACCTAATTTATATGCATGTTTGTTGAGTCTGCAGTGTCCGATGTGTCTATTCAAGCATCTGAAGAAATCGCTTTCATGGTTATAACCTGTGTTAGTTTTTACTTGAAATACAAAAATCAGATAGACTTATGTGTGTATTTAATAGTTTTCAAGCCTTAAAAAAAAAAAAAACAGTATTTCCATCAAGCAGCAATAGCAGAAGATACTCTCAACTAAAATTCTAAAGTTGCAGTTGGAGACTGAAATATGTGTATTTTCTCATATCTATTGTCTTTCTCTGCTTAATGCCATCAATCGTCACAGACACAGGAAATGAGCAGTTTCTGAGATTGTGCATGCTCAAATGCTTGCTG